ATTTTTATATTTTAATCCTAAATAACAAGCAAAAGTGATAGAACCTAATTTTTCCTAAAAAATACTGCAAACTACAATATTCCAGCAGAGTCATCAAATACGTTATGACTTTTGTAAAATATTCAATATTTGTCTTTTGCATCGCGCGGCGAAAGATTTTGCCCCTTGGCCAAGTAGACATAGAATTAACGGGTCTGGTGAAAAAATAGCCGGTGGCGATCAATATTCGTTCGCCGCGAGCTTCTTCTTCCAGCATTAAATGGAGCGGTATTCACTCGTGCCCTCACGATGCAATCTGTCACATGTCTTAACATGAAAATAACACGATTGGTTCAAGAAAAGCAGTAGAGAAGTGGAATCAACACTTTCACGGGCATAGGCGAGGCCACGCAGTTCGATCTAAAGGAGCACCATCCACGCAGGCCACAGGCGAAACTCGCAGATTGTTCAGATTTTCTGCCTGAGTCCGAAACAAACACAATGTTAGTGTCCGATTCATCGCGACGATTTATCCACTTGTCATGAAGCGAGTATCTTCTGAAGGTGCGTGAATGGACAACAGCATTACAGAGTGTCATAGCCTGACATCATCCGAGAAGGTCAGGTTCTAAAGCAATGCTTGGAGCCACAAACATTGAACGGTCTTTACAACTCTTGAACTAACAATTCCTCGTCCCTTGGCCAACACCCTGCGCGGGTGTCTCTTTGAGGAGCATGGGTGAGCCACGCAACGTCCAGCCCACACGCTACGGACGTTGGGATGCGTAAAAATCTCATTGTGCCCGAGGGGACAGCCTGGCACTGTTGACACATCTCACAAATCACTTCGTGGCACAGGTGGGCCGCCCTTGGACTTTGCATACCGGCCAACAAATGGATCCAGGTCAGCTCCTGCACCAAGAAGGACATGGCATCATTTACAATCCCCGAAGAAAGCAATGGAAAAGGAAGCGACTGTCGGAAGGGTATGTCTCGTCAGGAGCTTGGGGTATGCAAGTCCGCACCAACTTTCTTGGCATGTTTTTCAGAGTGGGAACCCAGAGGCCATCCCAGGCCACAAATCCACCCCAACAAAGCGGATACAAAGTCCATTACTTCCTTGTTGAATCACCTTTCATTTCGGAGGAAGGGCCCCCGCTTTGGGACACCTTCGATGCTGCTCGCCCGCTCTGAGAGCAACGTGGACCAGAAGTGCAGGTGGGTGTGACCACTTCGCCTTTGCACGTCTCAGACCTGGCTTTCTGATCAGTCGTCTTGAGACAAGTCGTGTTGCATAGTCAACGAGAGAGAGAGAGAGAGAGAGGCAGCTTAGATTAGGTGACATCCGATAAACGAAAATGCATGTCAGAGTGTCGGTGCCAGTGGCGAATGTCGGCGCCGGTGGCGAGTTTACGCAGGTACGTTTTCAGCCTCCCACTTGGCCCTGTTGGACGCTCAGCCTAGTGAGAAGGAGGGCCCCCTGCCGAAAACCAAACAATCCCCTTTCACTCCCGGTGGTGAGGTATTGGATGCCAGTGGCGAATTCGTGTTTGCAGAATAGGGTTGTTTGCCAGCCTACCCCTAAACACGGTCAAAGCTCAGGGTAGCTGGTTCTGTGAAGCATCAGATGGGTATCCTGCAGCGAACGCGTGGCACGACTCTGCATCTTGGTTTCTCAAACATCCGAATACGAAGCAAGGAGCGGTTGTGACAACGATTATGCACCGCGCCCTCTGACTCATTCAATGAAGGCAAACCCTACACCGCAATCCACGTCATCTCCCATACTGGCACAAGATGCCGCAAGAATGTGCACGCATGTATGTGGGTAAGGCCCGGATCTGTGCATGCGTCTCCTGGCTGTCCGTCAGGATGCCCAGCATGTCATGGTGTGAGTTTCAAGCATCTCAGCATTCCTAGTGGTGTGTAGTTTGTCGTCAGTGGCAGAATTTGCAATTCAGACTTGGGAAAGCCAGCCGTGCCCCAACAAGCCGCCCGCAAGCCCGCCTGAAAAAACACTCCCACAACCGAAGCACGCCCTCCCAAAACAACCATCTGCGTCCTCAACCTGCGCCCCTGAAGCCGCCCCCCAAGCCCCGTCCCTCAGCACTTGCAGTGCCCACACCAGCTGATTCATTCATGTTGCTTATTGCAAGAGCGGCCTCAACAAGCCACGGGTTGTTACTGATCAGCATTTCAAGTGCAACGACTCGGCCATACACGCAAAGGAACTGAAGTCACCATGACCATGCGTTGCTCTCTCCGAGGCAACCGGCTTCACAACGGTGTGTGGCGCTTGTCCGTGTGTGCACCGCAACAGCAAGCGTCGGACCTGTGCAAGCGTCCCCCGGCTGTATGTCTCAGGGCGCATAACATGGACTGCAGCCGTCACAAGCTCTCTAAACTGTCTGTCTTCTGTACGGCGACGCAGTTGAGGCACTGCCAGACCCGAGCCACGCTTGTCGAGCATCAGAGCAAGAGGAGTCGGCATTTGTGGTGCAACATGGCTTCACGAACCGACTTGCGCCAGCACTCGAAGCATTTCACACGCAAATCTGTTTCGAACGGGTTCTGTAGCAGCTCAAGGACCACCGAACTGAGGCCCACGAATGTCCTCACTTGAGGAAGAAGCCGTACGAGTGCAAGCCAATGCCCATCAAGTTGACCTTCGAACGTAGACTCGAGAGTCGAGATGATTTATATACTCTGTCATCGTAGAATCACAAGACAAGCACAGCCCACAATTTGTAACGGCACTGCCACATGTCTCGACCATGACTCAGGCGCTCACGCCAATGTAGCACACCCAGACTACCTCAGCTGCATATTGCCGCTCTTGCAGATTCTAGCAAAGCATGCCTTTGTGCCTTGTCTGAGGAAGTGATCTGGTGAAGTCCAGGCCCCCTGCAAGGAAACCGAAGGCACCGATCTTGGCGCTTTCGCGAGTGTCCCAGCCAAGCTGCAACCTGTCCGGCTGCTGTTCGACGAGACTCTCGTGGCCATTGAAAAAAAGCAACCCCGAGCTTCCCAAAACGAGAACACTTAAAATATCAGCATCTTGGGTAGCAAGCACTTGTCCTTGATTTCTGCACATCCTGTGCATGTCGAACAGTGTCGAAAGTTGACCAACCCTGCACTGTTCTCAATTCTGAGCAGCATGGTTCAGTACACTTGCCCTGCCGCTTGTCTCAACACTGCAATTCAATGTCGTTTCGGTAGAGATGAGCACGTCTTGCAACACAGCCCACTGCACACCCAAACTTAGAAGTCCTTGACAAAAACATCGCAACGAAGAACAATCCAACATCATGCAGGACACAGTACGACTCAACAACCCGAGCCTGATTGAGAGCTCTCGTGGAGCTTCTCTCTGATTTTCTCATTGCATCGTTTGAGATCTGCGACCACGAGGCTGTCACAAGGTGTAATTCGGTCGAATCCTTTCCGCGCCCACGGAAAATGAGATACAAAGCCCCCGATGCCCTGAAGCTTGAAGCCCCCAAACCCCTCCACCCCCTTCCCCTCCTGGCCTGGTGTGAAGGTAGCCGGCATAAACCAACCAGGTAATGAGAGCCCAGGTCTCCTGCGAAGTTTGTAGGAGTTTCAATAATATCACTTTATATATGGGTGGTTGTCAAAATTAAGGTCCTTTTGGGGTGCCCTAAATATTAGGTGCCGTATTATATAGAGGACCCAAACAAGGGACCATAGTTTTGACAACCACCCATATAGTAGGGCAATTTTACAGGGACCCCTGACGAAGGGGACCCCCAATTTTCTGAAACCTGGTTCGACTGCAGGACATTGCCAAAAGAGCATGGAAGTGTCTGTAATGGAACACGAAAGGAATGAAGCCAATGCATGCATGGCCGGATCCTGCATTCCAACACTATGTCAAAAACAGACTGAGTGAATAGACTGGGTTTAGCTATGTAATTATATATATATATATATAGAGAGAGAGAGAGAGAGAGAGAGAGAGAGAGAGAGAGAGAGAGAGTCTATCGTCGTCTATGACATCTCGCTCCTTCGGATCCCAGCTCCAGTAGTTGCCCCAAGCTTCGTTCGCCCAAACGGCGCCGGAAACAATTCCGACCGTCCTCGGAAGGGGAGCGTATCATCAGCCAGTTGTCTCTCTGACTGCAATCTCAGGCTGCAGCAGGAAGCCGAAGCCCAGCAACAGCGATCGGTAAGCCAGGTCATCCAAGGTAATGGCGAGTTGGTCGTCCTTTCGCGAGACTCGAGCAGCCGAGCAGCCTCTTGCCTCTCGCACGGTCGACGGCTCCTCCGAAAGCACGGCCGTCCCGGAAGAGGACGTGAACTCGACTGTGACCTGAGTTACTCTGCTAACGTGCGCCCCATGCACCGGCTGCTGCTGGGAGCAGGGGAGCAGCTCACGAGGCAACTGCGCTGCCGGCACCCGCAGCGGCACTGGTGCTTGCAACTGCTACCTGTCAGAAGTCGGAAGCGTTCAAAGATGCTTTAAGAACTTCAATCGAGCCTGCGTCCTGTCCTGGCGTTCAACCTGGCTGGCTGTGTTGCCAGCATCAAGGCCGGTCGTGCCAGTCATGGCAACCGCCGGGGACTGGCCAGAGCTTCAATGCAAGATGGCAAGTGGCGAGAAGGGGCACAGTTGTGCAGAGGTCTCACAAGCAAATGATTCGACACTACCACAAAAGACTATGTACTGGAGCACACACGGTCTTCCAACCGTCCAAGACTTCATGCCTGCCTGTAGTAGCTAGCGCGCTCGGGGCTCGCGTTTCTGTCGTGGCTCAAGCCTTACAACTTACAACCATCTACAGGGCCACTCCCGACCTGTCCAGCAGTGGCGACAGCTGGCTGTGGCCTTTCAGCGTCGTTAGTCCAGCTCGGAAATGAAGGCATCCGCAGCCACCGACATATCATGCATACAAGCTGGCGCACTGCAAGCCGTTGGCGATGCCCTGCAGCGCCGGCTGCGCAGCCTGATATGGAGGGAAGTATGGCGCGACGCAGACCTGATCTGCTAGGTCTGTGTCACCAAGAAAACAAGAGACTCCCAATACAGACCCCGGACCCTAAGAGGGCTACTGATTCAAGAAGCCCACAGTTACATGAAGACCCATGCACGGCCGCCACGCTGTCCCCACTCGCCATTCAGACGCCTCGCGGAGCGCCGTGATCGGGCTGTCTTTGGGTTGGCTCAATGCCAACACGGCCATGCCTGAAGTGCAGGCAATTGGAAACAAACTGTGCAGGAAGAGCTGCCTACGACATTTCGTGAGCAGCCAAACCGCTAAATTTCTCGCAGTGTATCAGCTTCCACATTCCAAACGACAGCTCCTGGTCATCTATTCAAGCATTGACAAGCACAGGGCCCTGGCAAAGCACCGACCCAAACATCAGCGTGGCATAGGAGCACATCACAACCTCGAACAGAAAAACGTACTGAAGTACCCATCTGCAAGAGCCATCCTTTGGACTCCATGTCTTCGAAGTGCACGACAACAGGAACAGGACAATCGGGCTGCTGGCTGAAACATGCATCACGAGCCAGTTCGACCTGTTGCTCAAAGTGCTAGTTGACAGCAGACACACACACACACACATGTCCGATTCGCAAATCTTCGAACACGAAATCGGATTGGACTCAGTGTGGGACTGCAGGGCAGGTACCAGCGCTGAGGCTTTCTGCAATGCCTGCCGCCAATTGCTACTCTGGCTCAAGCTTCAACTACTTTGATAAGCTTGGAGAAGAGACTGACACGGAAGTGCAGCCTTGCCTTCGGCAAAGAAAACTGGGCAAAGGCGACGATGCCCAGAGCCACAGGTGATGCCCAAACAGCCTCGAGAAGGCAAGGGCCTTCTGAAAGAAGCAGAAGCACTAGTAGCTATCTGCTGGGGAGAGGTCTCCTTCGAAGCAATCATTCTTTGCAGATCCTAGGGCCTACGGAACTCAGCCAAGCCACGGCAATGTCGCTGGTGTTCTGTTTCGCCTGCAGACATGCAGCGAACCACTTACAGAACAGCACGCATCTTGGGTGCGGCCTCCGATGACTTGGAGTTGGTTTGCATGTCGAAAGCTTTCAGCTCCGCGGCTTCACTTGCCTGGCTGGCCTCTGTAGCTCGAGTGGTGGCCCAGTGGCAGCAGTACGCAAACCGCACGAGGACTTGGTCGCTAACGGTGAAGTACAGTGTCACAGCAGTAACACCCCACCTTGCTACACAAGCTCAAGTAGTTCAAAGCTGACATGATGGGAAATACATGGGTCAAACTTGGAAGGTTTTCCAAGGAGGTGGCGCCAAAAAGCTTAGCGACTCATACATGTTCGACAGGGGGAAGTGGCCTGAGGGGCGCACATTCCACAAGAAAAAACGTGTGCACAGGCCTGTGCTGAAGCTTTTGGGCCGTGGCCGCTCTCCAGCCAACGGTTGGACAGCAGCACCTAGTCACACAGGCCACTGGTCTCTGCCATGCGATGGGATAGCTTCGAGTCCCTCCAGCATCTCTCAGTCGCCAGCTACCAGGGCAAGGTTCGCGAAAGACATGGCCTGCAGGCAAGGCCGATGGACGAATTGAAGAGCCGAAGAAGGCTGAGGCCCGATCGTAAAACGAAGGAGGCTTGCCCTCCGTAGAAGCCTGCAGCACTGCAGTGACCACAGCATTTCATCCTTTTGCTTCCAAGTGGGCTTCCAGGAACTCACAAAGCGCTCCGACTGCGAGTGCACTGTGGCGCTGCCTGTCCGCTGCCCAGCGTACCCCGCCACCAAGCCAAGAACGTGCTCACCTGGCACAACGAGCTCTCCCTGGCGTGGGCCATTCGCACCTCAACCACAGCTTAGGCAGCCGCCAGCAGGCCACCGAAAGCTGCCCTCTCAGCCCAGCCCTGCAGATCTCCAGAATCCATCACCTCAAAATGCACTCCGAAGTTACATGAACTGCAGTGATCACGTAGATGCTAGCACCTGCAGTTACCGTGAGGAGAAGCATAATATTAATAACCTGGCTTTCGACGCGATCGACCCAAACAGTATCTTGTGTTTGGGGAGTCAAGAACCTTCGAGCTAGAACACGATGACCGCAGTCTGACATACGACCCATATGGAAGCCACGGGCCCCCAAGGTTTTGCAAGGCAGCGGCTCCAGGAGCCCCGTGTGCCAGTGGATCATCCACCGCATTGGCTGGTGCCGTCAAGGCCTCAGAGAGATAGAGAGAGAAGCGGCATGACGCGAGTGCTTGCCATCACAGTCTGATTCAAAGACTCGGGCAAACAGTGTACCTGCACCCACAGCGCCAGAAAGGTGCGACACCTGCCACGAGCGATGAGTCGAGAAAAGCTTCGATTGAGTCAGAGTCCTAGAGGCCTGCTCCGGCGCCTTCTTTCCTGCAGCACAGCATGGAAGCAGCATGCATCAGCTTAGAACTGGAAGATGCAAGACTGTTGCCTTGGGGCGCAGGAACAAAAGCTGGCGAGAAGTAGGTGAGAGCCAGCACCTGCTCAAAATCCGCAGGTGACATCATCTGCAAGCGGTGCGTGTGCCCGAGGTCCATGCTAGAACGGTGGGCAGCAAAATCTGGCGTCTTTGCCTGGCCTCGGTGATTCAAAACATCTAGGGGCCACTGCTTGAAACCACATGATTTGAAACCCTAAACTTTTAAACCCTTGACCCCTAAACCCTTAACCGCTAAACCCTGCTTCGAATGTGAATGAACTATGTGCCCGGCCATGCTGATTTCCTCGAGGCCTCGGGGAGTCATGGATGTCTAAAGATCCCCTTCGTCGGACACAGAACATTGCAAGATAAGGCCGTACTAAGAAGGATAGAGCTTGGGGGCACATCATACCAGAAAAGAGCAAGCTAGTAGCTGACTCCTATAAGTGCGAGAGCCTTGTCTATCACCAGGCGTGCTGCGAAGTGGACTAAAGGGCGCAGCAGACTTTGAGCATATGGCGGAGACACGTACCACAGTGCAGGTGCAAAACAAGCAGACATGTAGACGAGTGCCCATGCGATCATGCAAGTGCTCGCAAAGTGGCAGCTATGTGTTTTAGTCTTGATTGTTGCCAATGCCTCCTGAGATTGACTTTGCGGGCACATGACCCGACACCAGTGCTCATAGCATGTTGCAAAAGCATGGTGTTCAACAGGTGCGGTTCATCGCCTTTGTGCAGATCTGCACAGGTGCATTATCAGCTTCGGCAGGGCTGCATTCGCAGCCGCCAGGGTCCTATGTAAAAAATTGCTTTTGCTGTCCAGCCCGAGATGATGGCTTCGATATCCTTGCGCAGTCCAAGACTGGGGAAGGGGAGTTGTCCACATCTCTCCTGGTGGGCCTCCATGGTATACTGCATTATACTACATTTCACTAGGCTACTACACCAAATTCTACTCTAATTAACCCCCTCACTGGAAGGCTGTGGTAGTAAGGGCTCCACATCGCCAGTGCACCGCCTTACGCTGATTGCGGTGTGCCAGTTCCAGTTATCTTCAATCTTAGTTTCAATTGCCCGATTGCTCTGCCGGAATCCCCGAAACTATCTCTGTTGGAGCTTCAATGCTGGATGCCATGTACCAATGCAGCATCTATCTTACTGGAGCTGTTATTCGGAGGGCACTAGTCCGTTACGATCGGTGTGCATGCACGGAAAATGCAGACGGACTCCTTTTTCCGGATGGCTGAAACCGTAGCGGTCTGGATCGGTGTCAGAGCCTCGGGCCGGACACCGGTCCAAAGGGTGTTGCTACGGATCGGTACGGGCACCGGTCGGGACAGGAAATGTCGGAACCGGTTGCCAAAAATGGACTTTGCAGGTTTTCTGAAGCCGGCCTACCGCGTGCAGGGAAGGGCAAAGTCCAACCCACATCGGAAATCCAGGCTGAAAGCTGTGGATTAAAGGGCCTAAATATAGGATCGAGATACGCAGGGTCGGCCCGGGGACACCCTTTCGGACCCTGTTTGGTGGGTCCGAAAGGGTGGTTCCCAGGGTCTCCCGTAGATCTGGCCGGACCCTTTCGGACCCACCCATTCGGACCCTGCTGGTAGTCATTGAGTCTGCGTCGGGGCTCGGCTTGAATTTGGGTATGGCTCAACATAGTTTTCATGATATTGAGCATGGTTTCCGCATATATTTTTCCAGCACCCACGCAGAAGTTCACAGAAGTAGCAGGCAGCGGGCCTCGGGACAAGGCGCACACTCAAGCTTCCCAGGCCGTGGTTGTTTGCTCGGGTTCCTACCTAAGTTCGCGGGGCCTGCGCAAAAGCATCCAGAAACTCAAAATCCAGAATCCTTGGAAGAGCCCCTGAACCCATAAACCCCGAAACCCAGAAATTATTAACCCTTATGTCGCTTATGTCCCGCAGTAACCCAAAACCCCAAACGCAGAAACCCTAAACCCAGAAAGCCCTTGAACCCAGATACCCACCAAGCCCCCAAACGCAGAAGCATTGTACACAAGCGCCTGAACTCAGAAACTGAAAACCCAAAACCACTGAACAGAGGAACCGCTGAACGCAGAAACCCTAAACCCAGAATCCCAGAAACCCTGAGCCCATAGCCCAGAAACCCTAAACCCAGAAACCCAAAACCTTGTGCTCCCATCCCTTGAACTCAGAAGCTCACCTAACAACCCAGAACACCTAAACCCAGAAGTTCTGAACCCCCAAATCTGCGAGTAAGCCCAGAAACCCTGCACGCAGAAACCCCAAACCCAGAAAACTCCTGAAGCCAGAAATGCAGAACCCAGAAACCGCAAACCCCGGAAGCCGCAGACATCATAAACTGAAACCCAAAATCACCGAACCGAGAACCGCTGAACCCAGAAACCCCAACCCAGAGAAAACTATTGAAGCCAGAAATCCGGAACCCAGAACCCGCAAACACCCAAACACAGAAACCCTGTAGAACCCAGAATCCCTAAGCCCTTAAACCAAAACCTTAAACCCCTGGACGCTGCACCGAAGCACAATAGCGGCTTGGCGTCGCAACAGGAATCCACCGAGCGGCGCCCGGCGTCGCCCCCTCTAAGAGTGGCCGACCCATTCGGACCCCGCTCCCACAGGTGTGGGCGACGCCGGGCGCCGCTCGGTGGATTCCTGTTGCGACGCCCGGCGTCGCCCCTGTGGCGTCGGCATGTCGGCCACTCGATTCGAACACGACATGTGGCTTGCTTCCCGCCGCTATTGTGCTTCGGTGCAGCGTCCAGGGGTTTAAGGTTTTGGTTTAAGGGCTTAGGGATTCTGGGTTCTACAGGGTTTCTGTGTTTGGGTGTTTGCGGTTTCTGGGTTCAGCGGTTCTCGGTTCGGTGATTTTGGGTTTCAGGTTATGATGTCTGCGGCTTCCGGGGTTTGCGGTTTCTGGGTTCTGCATTTCTGGCTTCAGGAGTTTTCTGGGTTTAGGGTTTCTGCGTTCAGGGTTTCTGGGCTTACTCGCAGATTTGGGGGTTCAGAACTTCTGGGTTTAAGTGTTCTGGGTTGTTAGGTGAGCTTCTGAGTTCAAGGGTTTGGAGTACAAGGTTTTGGGGTTCTGGGTTTTGACACTCACACTCGGGCAAGCCTGGCGAGGTCTGTAGCGATTAAGGACGAACATACAGGATCAACTTCAAGCCGATTTCACTTGAAGCCAGGCTGTTCATGCCAGGGTTTCTGGGCTATGGGCTCAGGGTTTCTGGGATCTGGGTTTAAGGTTTCTGGGATATGGGCTCAGGGTTTCTGGGATTCTGGGTTTAGGGTTTCTGGGTTCAGCGGTTCCTCTGTTCAGTGGTTGTGGGTTTTCAGTTTCTGAGTTCAGGCGCTTGGGTACAATGCTTCTGCGTTTGGGGGCTTGGTGGGTATCTGGGTTCAAGGGCTTTCTGGGTTTAGGGTTTCTGCGTTTGGGGTTTTGGGTTACTGCGGGACATAAGCGACATAAGGGTTAAGAATTTCTGGGTTTAGGGGTTGATGGGTTCAGGGGCTCTTCCAAGGATTCTGGATTTTGAAGTTTTTGGATGTCTCTGGATTTTGGTGTATAGGTTTCAGGGTTTAGGTTTTCAGGGTAAATGTTTTGTACCACTCGCCAGCACACCTATTCTCTCATATTCTATGACCCCCATACAAGGCACTCCGGGGGTCTACAAGGTATTTCAATGCCTAGTGCCCCCCCCGTCAGCCACCCCCCACAAGGCATTCTTTCGGTGCGGTGATACCGCAGGACTACCGCAGGCAAGTTAAATCTGGTATTAACTGGCTTGCTTTTCTAATATCTGAGGTGGGGTCCGAATGGGTCGGGCGACCCTTTCGGACCCTGTTCCCAAGGGTACCCAGGGCCACCCTTTCGGACCCTGGATAAATCGAGGGTATGCCTAAATCCAAGGCGGAGAACAAAGGGGAGGTGGCGGGAAAGAAAAGGCTAGCACACCGTCAGAATGCGGAACGGATGCGCCTAAGTCGAACGGCTGCGGTACAGTTACGACTTGCCGTTGCGAGCCCTCCGATTAACACAATACGACCCGTCGAAAAACCGTTATTCGGAGGGCACTAGTCCGTTACGATCGGTGTGCATGCACGGAAAATGCAGACGGACTCCTTTTTCCGGATGGCTGAAACCGTAGCGGTCTGGATCGGTGTCAGAGCCTCGGGCCGGACACCGGTCCAAAGGGTGTTGCTACGGATCGGTACGGGCACCGGTCGGGACAGGAAATGTCGGAACCGGGTGCCAAAAATGGACTTTGCAGGTTTTCTGAAGCCAAGATATAGAACGAAATCCAGGCAAAGGAGTACCCGCACCGGGGAGAAAACAGCCAAAGTCAGAAGTCCAATGCCGGGAAGAGATCGCGGTTGAAGGCGGACGCAGGAAAGTAACACGGGCGCGGAGGACGGCTCAACAGATGCCAAGGGACAACGATCTCATCGGCAGGATTGAGTCCCAAGGTGCCCGGGTCGCGGGACCGGCTCAGGGCGTCAGCAATTTTGTTACGGAATCCCGGAACGTGGTCCAAGTCCAGAAACAGTGCCGGGCGAGCAGGAGGATCGGCTGGGGAAGTGGACGGGGGGGCCCGATCCAAGGATGGAGCTGTCTCCTTGGCAGGGCGTGCACACGGGGAGGGGGGATGCAAGCCAGGGCGGGCCCCTTGAAAGGGTGGGCGGGCAAAGGAGAAGGAGTAACGAAGAACCGGGCGGTGCGGCGAGCGACTTCTGAGTCGGACCGAATCCGAAGCAGGGGCCACCTGAGCCACGGACTCAGCCGGGGCGTGATTTGAGATCTCCTCATCAGAGGAGAAAATACGCACGGCTTCATCGGCCAGGGCAACAGGGGACGAGCCTTGCAACGACGGAGCCATGGCCGACGGGGGTTCAGCTGCATCCGCGTTTCAGTGCGATGTGGCGCGGTGTTTGGCAGCCGTGTGTTTCTGGCCGCAGGGTTTGCCGGAAGGGAGCGGAATCGGGCAGGAATGTGAAAAGCGGCAGGAATCCAATTTGCAGCGGCCGAGCACAAAGCGTTTGCAAATTTCCTTGCCATTCTCGTCCACCTCATGCCACGACTCTTCCCACAGATCCTTGACGGGTTTCTTACCGGCCAGCTTTTTGGCATCTGCTTTGGCTTTGCCGGTCGGTTTTTCCGGTTTGCCGTCGGTTTTGAGACGCTTCGTGGGCCGGTCAGGCTTGGCTGGCAGTGACGTGTCGGCCGTGCCCCCTGTGCGGGTGGGTTCCCGGACCGGAGGGGCAGGCATGGACCGGGGCCGGGCACATAACAAAGTCGGAATCATGTGCCGGGTGACGGAAACCTCATGAATGGAATCAGCCAGCGACCACTTCTCATCTCGCATTAGTGTGCCCACGGCAGCCCAGATGGACCGGTCGGCTGCGAGTACTTCTTGCAGAGATGGTGCCCGGAGGGAAGGATCCAGAGGGACAGCCGTAGCAGATGCAATGAAAGACTCCGCAAAAATCTTGCCGATACGCAGGTGCAGGTCACCCAGGAAAGCCAAGGCCGTGACCAGAATCCCAAAGTGGCGGCGAAGCAGGGGCTCAACGGGGCCAGAGTTAGGCACGGAAGCGTGAGCCACAACCGGGTCCGGAACATCATCCAATAAGGAGCGGAGGAGCTGGTTGTCCGACCTGGGTCGGCGATGTTCATAGAACGTCTGAACGTCATGCTCAGATGTCCTCAAGCGCCACGGAATCCACAGGGTTGTTGGCTTGTCCAGCTCAGAACGGAGGCGGTTGAGAAATTCCAAACTGGGTGTGTTGGACGGGGAGAGGATTTCTCCCGGATAGGCCTCAATGAATTTTTGACGCAGCAGCTCCGCCGCTTCGGCCGTGATTTTTGGGCCAGGAAGGGAAGGCGGAGCGCTCCCGGCAGAGGCAGGGGTCGACGGGGCAGGTGCCGGATGCACAAGGTCGCGCGCCTGCACCAGAAGGCGTCGTGCAAAACTGGCAGATGGTGTGATCCTGGCCGAGGTGTCGTTGGGGTCAGTCGGAGGCCACAAGACGCGAATCCAGTCGTCAGGGGAGCCATCCGGAGGGATAGCGTAGGCAATGGTCGCGATGGTCTTGAACCCCTTTACAGTGAGGACCTCCAGAAGCTCATCTGGAGCAGACCATTGCCGGAGCAGGGCAACCAACGCCGCAGGATCGTCAAAGGCGGGTGTGCCAGAACCAGACATGTCAGAGGAGCAAAAAATCCAGGATGACGGCAGGAAAAGTCCAAGCTGACGGCCTACCCTGATCCTAAGAGCCTGAAAATGGCAGCGGGACGGAGGCAGTAATCAGCGGACATAGGCAGGCAATCCCAGCAAAGCAGGAGCAGGGCCGAGTCCCGGGTTTTTTCATCGACCGTCCACGCCGGTGAAAAGCACCGTCCAGGTGCGGAGTAATAGGGGGGGCCTGGTAGCCTCCGGCCAGTCCCCTGGTGTGCAGCCGCTGAGCTACCATCCGAAGCGGTGGCATATGCGGCACGCGTGATTTTGATGCTGGCGTCTGCGGGTCGGATCCACCTGACGGCCACATACTTGCGGACATTCCGGATTGACGCATGGCAATTGGCAGAAGATCACGACCCGGGGCGGTCGCAGGATGCTCCCACAAAGACGGACCAGTCGGGCCAGGAAGCTGACCGAGCAGCGGCGCAAGAGGTCAAGGAGTTGCTGGTCGGTAAAATCTTCCAGGTCTTGCAGTTCCGGAGCAGACGGCAGGAGAACCGCGCCATCACGGTCCCAGGCCGCTCGAACCGGACGGCCCCCAGGCCCAGCCGACGGGTAACCATCAGACGCCATGGCGGAAGATGGCGAAAAGAAAGGGAGGGTTGGGGCGGGGCAGGCTGAAACAGAAAACGGCTGCGGAAGAAAGACAGTGCATACAAGTGTGACCACAGGCGCAGGAACGAGCACGAGCTGGCACATGCAAATGCATCTTCTTCACAGCGTGGCGGGACATCACGTCTGGCAGGCACGGCGGAGGCAGAGCTGGGCACCCGCAGGCGGGGCGGAGCACCATGCCTCAGAGCAGAGCTGACCAACAGAGGCCCCACAGGCCGGTTTCACCCAAAATGGTTCCAGGCCCAGCAGAGACACGCGTACGGATTTTGCAGTGTCGGGCGGGCACGGAACGGGACGGTGCAAGACGTTGCTGCGAGGGTTATGCAGAAATCCATTCATGCTGGGCTCTCGCTGTTGGGAGCGAGGTGGCCGAGGCTTGGCAAAGTCATCGTCCGAACCCGAGGCCCCGGATTGTTCGGAGTCGGAGCTGTCATCGGAGAGGTCAGTGCTTTCCATCTCCTCTTTATCCGGCTCCGGACGGCGCCGGGGGGAGCGAGATCGGGCAGAGCTTTCCCGAGGCGCCATGCCACCCATGTTGCTATCCGGGGGCGGCAAGGACACCCGAAAGTCAGGCAAGGGTTTGCTAGAGCCGCGGCCCACTGGCTGAAGGGGGCGGTAACCGGACCGGATTCGGTTAATTACCTCAGCCTGCAACGATAACATTGGGCCTATATCGTCTCGGCTATAGACCCGAACGGAGCCTTCCATGGAGGACGGACGGTGATGGCCTTGCAGACGGCGAAGCTCGGGGTCCAGGTTAAGCTGCCTGGCCCAGGATAAAACAGTGGCCTTGCAGCTGTGAACCCCATACATGGAGTGCTCAGGCGGGCAGGCCTCGGGGGAGTGCAGGTGCCAGTGTTCTTGCAGGAGGGCCCGGAGCCAGGGCATGGCGCGGGACCGGTGCAAAGGAGAGACAAACACCGGAGAGGCAGGGTCAGGCCCGAGGACCGGCAGCAAGAAATCCACCGTGCGGTCCGGGAACGTGCGTTTGGTGTCGGATAGGCACTGCTGAAGGGCGTTAAGCCAGGAAATGCCCCAACAAGCAGACGGCGAGCCCGTCAACCCGAAGAGCTGGCAACCCCACGGCATGTTGGCTCGGCAGCTTTTAGTGCGGGTGGCGACACCGGTCAGGGCAGTGGAGCCGGATTGCAGTATCACCCGGGACGGGGGAGACCAAAGGCCGTCATTCCAACGAAGAGACGACCAAATCAGGCACAGGACCGACCCCCGAAGCAGGACCTCGGCAAGCAGAGTCGTGGGATCCATCACGGACCGTTCGAGCCAGACAACAAAGGACACGGAAAGAAGCAATGCTTCACGCTTTTCCACCGGGCCGGTCGAGGAGAGAAAGGCGGAGCAGAGCGGAGTGTGCAACTGTACCTGTATAGAAGGCAAGCCCGCCACCTTGGCCATCCAACTCAAGGCCTTGAAACTGGTGGTAGAGAGGCCAGAAGGGGCAGAAGTCAGCTGAAGCCAGGACGGGAGTGCACCGGGCGGCGGGTCGGCCGGATCAATCCCAGAAAGGATACAGTGCCGGACCCAGGCAGACCAGGAACGCAAGTAAAGCTGCAAAGTACTGGGGGCATTTTTCGCAATGGCACGTGCTTGGAGTTCCCGAGGCGCGGGTACCAGCTTGGTATGTAAAAACAGGGTGCAACGGTCGCCCAGCTCCTGAACAAAGTCGCAAAACATGTTGCGGAAATGTGCCAAGGCGCGAGCAGTTGCGGATTCCATAGAGGAGGAATCGGAGGCATCAGTAGCCAGTGGTAAAAAGCCAGAATGCACGAATGGCGCCGGGGGAATCACAGAGGGCCGCGTATCCGGAGATAAGGCAGAAAGACCCCGGGGGGACGCCAGTGGGTCGCGGGGCAAGCGAGGTACCCGGGGGCAGGACAGAAGTGGTGGGCCCAATGGAAACGTAGGAGCCGAACATGCAGGACGCAAAGCTGGGCAGCGAAGGGGGCGGAACAAGGGGAAGGGGGCAGGCCGAGGCCGAGCGGGCCGGGGGCGAGCAGCCAGGTCCGATAAGGAGGCACGAGACAGACAGGGCAAGGCCAGCCCAAGGCGAGGCACAAGCAAGGATGCAAGTCCAGGTAAGGGAGGACCGACCGGGTGAGCAGTAGCGACCGGCACAACCTGAAAGGATGTAGAGGATGCCGAAGAAGGGCTGATATGATGCGGTGCCGAGGGCCCAGGGGCCGGGGCCGGAGAATCACATTGACGCGGGGGAGTGTCGCCCAAAAAATCCAACCGCTGCGGGCGGGGCGGTGTGATCAGAGGAGCGGCAGCGGAGGGCTGCAAAGGAAAGCCATGGAGCAAGGAACCAAGGTCGGATGCCAAGGCCGGGTTGCCCGCAGGGGTCACCGGCGGATGCACAGGTACCTGGCCGGGCAGGATAAGCAACAAAAAGCGGAACAAAGCGCAGCAAAGAGACCGGCGCATCCTCGATGGTCTCCAGCTCGATGTTGGCCTGGCGGCAGGAAAAGAGAAAAGCAACATGTCTCAGAAAGGAGCAGGCAGGAGCAGCAAGGCGGGGATCCACGACTTTTTGGGCATCGCCGCAGCGGGGCCGGATCAGGCCGGCCGCGAGAGGCAGAAAAGTGCAAAGCACCGGGCCTAGCGGACCACCCCAACACAATGATCTTAGGAGACAAGTTGCAATATTGGCCATAGAAAGCACAGGGATCGCGGGGCGGTCCGGATCAGGCGCCTAGTACCCGTCCTGGATACAGTAAGGGCATTTGTGCCCTGTGTGATCGGTCCGGGAGTGCAACATCACGGGCCGGAGGCAAATGCGGAGGCAATGCGGGCCCCGGGCCGGACAGTCATGCGAGCAGTAGCCGCGAATGTGCAGGTGAGACAAAACCGACGGAGGCTCCTGGAGCGGAGCCCAGCTTGGCAAGTCCTGCTCCTCAAAGCAAAAGAGGTCGGGCCAGGGCCAGGAGTCCGTGCGGATGAACGGGCCGGAGGCGCTCCCAGCCTTCACTGATGGTCCAGGGGCCGGTATTGGCCCGGCGCGGGGTGAGTTGGCCCCGATCCACAAAGACCGGAGTGCAGCCGGGGCGGTTGGGATCAGAGTGGACCAGGGGCGCATTCGGGTCGACGGCCGACGTGTCCGTAAGGAGGGCCTGGCGCGGGCGGGCGAATCCGGGCAGCACGCGGAGGCCACCGGAATCACCACCAGCTGCGGGGGGGGTTGGCTGGGCCGCGTTGCCATCGGCGGGCCCGGTGCCATCGTTCTGGTCCAGACCGGCATGAATGGCATCGGCAGCCCGTTGGTCCGGAAAGCGCGGACCGGCCAGCAACGGTGCGAGGTCACCACGAGTAGTCTGTGGGTAGCGGCCTCGGTTCGGAGGCGGGCCGGTCTGGGACATGTGCGCGACCGGAACCTCGACGTCAAGCTGGCCCAGGTTGCCCATGGCATAAGTGACGTCCTGGGCGACCTCCGCGATCAAGCAAAGAAGGCGAGTCACCTGGGACGGCGGCAAGTCGGCCAAGGACCGGTAAATGGCATCATCGTCCAGGGTGCATAGGACGGAGAGGTCCATCTCGAGTGGCGGCGGAGCGGCCTTAGCAGTTGCCGCAGGAGCTTTGGGAGCCGCATCGGATGGAGCAGCCGCCGGCTTGGCGGGGGGAAAAGAAGGGGTGGAAGGCCGGGCCGGAGGAAAGCTGGCCTTCTTCTTAGGGGGTCCGGCGGTAGCAGCTGGCAAGCCACCAGTCGTGGGGGGGTGGCTGGGAGGCTGCTTTTGGGGCGCGAGAAAGTCGGCACCACGTTTGGCCCGGGGCTGGGACGGAGTGGCAGGTGGATCCACGGGGGGGGCCGGGTCCGGAGCCACAGTGGTGTCCTGGGCCGGGGTGTCCGTCGGGACGGCCTGGGCCTCGACATCGTCCGGAGTAGGGTCGACGTCGGACCGGATGCCGACGGCAGCTCCCACCACACCGCGGGCCAAGTCACGGAGCGCGTGTCCACCAAAGCGGGCCATGATCAGCAAAGGCGAAAGGCAAAGAAGGCAGAAAGCGTTAGAAGCTAAAAGCGGCTGCGGCAGGAAGCAGGGGTAGCTCGAGCACGGCGGGACACCAAGCAAAAGCTAAAGCAGGACCGGAAACAGCTTGCAAGCCGGCCTTCGGGGGCGAGACCGGCGGACCAGAAGCCGGGTCAGGCCTGGGAAGACCAACGCGAAGCAAACAAATAGAGCACATGCAGCTGGGGACCATACATGATGGACCGGAGCTGGGCCCCAAAGGACCTTAGCCAGATATGGGCCAAGGCGGAAGTTGAAAAAGGGGGGGTTCGGCCTCTTGGCGGAGAGGCGGGACCGGGGCCGCCTGACAGAAAAAGTCAAGAGGCAGGAATGTTAAGCGGAAAAAACAGCCTCGAAGATGAGGAAGATGAACTCGGGGTCCGCCGGGCCCTACGCCGTCGGCGAGGACGGGAGCGGGACGAGTCTGAAGAAGAAGGCATCAAGCCGTGACAGCCTAAAAAGAAAAGGCTAGCACACCGTCAGAATGCGGAACGGATGCGCCTAAGTCGAACGGCTGCGGTACAGTTACGACTTGCCGTTGCGAGCCCTCCGATTAACACAATACGACATCTCGAAAAACCGACTTCGCACGGGTTGTGACCCACTTTGATTTGGAATTTTTGGCCCAAGCCATTTGTAAGGCAAGCCTCGCTATCGAGGTGGTGGCGACTGACATGATCCTGCTCTCTTCAAGAATGCTTGCGACACACCTCAGCCAACAAACAGCGGCGATCAGGCCCTCCGATCCAATTACCAGCCTTGTGTAAGAGAGGCCAATCCGACCACAGGGCATCTAGCTATGGTGCCCAAGCTGCTTTCAAGAGCTCGGTGCGCAATGGTGCACGGTGCAAAAGGCTGAGCATATCTTCTCTACTCCGAATCTGATCGGCAGCCAGGGCGCGTTGTCCCTCACAAGCAGCCAAGTAGTCCCCAAGTGCTGGCATCACGGCATCCAGCTGCGCCATGGACACGTTGCCGATGCCAGCCTGAACCCGATCCAAGCGAACACATGACGAGCCGAATTGTCTTCTGGTTTTGCGGATCGTGGCACAGTTGGGACTTGAGGGCTGCTTCTAGGTTGCTTCCACGCTTGTTGCAGCGACAAAAACCAGAAAAGTCAAGAATGCGTGCTGTGGAACCTGATGCATGCAAGGCAGGTCCGGAGGGCTATTTGCGGGCAAGAGAGAACAATAGACAGAAACGTTCAGCCGACGCGCCAAAATCAGCCATGTTCGATTTTGTTCGAGGCAGGAGAGCCACCCTGTTTGTGGCGGACGGTCATGCCTTGTCCATGAAGGCAAAGACCTGGTCAACCGGACCGTGGAAACTGAGCTTCTCCTTTCCAGGGCTAAGACAGGGCTGTGTGCCACTCTCCAGCTTTCCGCTTTCCGGGGCCTACGGGGCCTACAGCTTCGCCGTCCTTGATGGCCCGCGACCATTCTGCCAGGCTGAGGCTACCTTCTCCTTCTCCGTCGACAGCAGACCAAAGCTTCTCCTGCGATCGGAGCTTCGCTCACAGAGCCCTTTTGAGTCCCCTGGAAAGGCTGCTTTCTGCGGCCGGGAGTCGGTCGGCTTAGAACCAAACTTGCGAGCTGTGAACCGCGCCAGATCGTGGAGTTGCTGTTGGGTCTCGCGCCACAGCTCTTCAAGAATGCTCCATTCTCGTCGGGACAGGAACTTCTGCCGGCCAGGAACAAAGAAGTCAAAAATTGCATCTGCCCGATGCAAGACCAGCTCATCATCTATGCTTGGGAGGAAACCCCAAGAGAAAAGAGCTTGGAGAAGGTCCTGTCGTGTGAGTGCTGTTTTATTGACCTGGCTTGCCAACAGATCAAAGCCTGCATCGGTGCTGTAGGTTTGCGAGCCGTTTCTGGCCGGCTCCCGCAGGACATGGTGTAGCAAGCTGAGGACATCTTCTGGCACTTCTGCCTTGCTTGCGCACCACATCCTTGCGTGAAGCTGAAACTGGATGAGACTGACATACAAGACAACAAGTATCCAAACCGTCCAAATCAACTGTCGAAGCCATACCGAAGCCGTATATTGATGACAGGCCAAGTACCAACAGCAAATGCTCATAGACTCATGACAGTGCATGCACATGTCGCGATGACGAAGATGACAACACGGGACGATTCAATGCTCCGACCGGCAATGGCAACAGCCTTACTCTATGTGCCGCTGGCAACAGTACCGATGTTTCTTTGCGCAATATCGGTGACAACAAGCATAACGACCTATTAGCTGTTGGTTGTGGTGTGGGATGAGACTCATTTGGCGCGAATCAACACGAATAAGAAGCATGTTCAGAACAGCGGCACGGACTGCTTGGAGATGGTCGCAAGTTTCCAGCCACCAAATTGCCTTTCAGTGGGCGCTCGGTCAATCAAAGCCAAAACTTCCGAACTGATGAAGACCTCTTCCCTTCTGCTTTCGGGGTCGAGCGGCATTTGCAGCTGCTTCCTGAACGAGATATTCCGCTCTTCGGGGATGCAACGGTACCTTCATGCGGAGACTTTGCGGAAGCAGCGACACTTGGCGCTTGCACAGACCTTCAAGGAGCCGAAGGCACGTCGCGCTCACTGCGCCCCGACTCGGCACCTTCTCCGGGTTCTCCCATGACTTTGGCAGCCCCTTTGACAATGTGATGAGCCTTGCGGTCGCGAACCGCAAGGCAAGGCGGCACTAACCAGGCGTCTGCTCCAGTGCAGTTCTACAGACGTGTGTGGTGTCCTGCCGGTCTTGTCGCAAAGCACCGCGTCCTTCATGGTGGACTTCTCCTTGCCTCACGTCACATGACATCGGGCGTCTTCACGGACAGTAAACCCCTTCGAGCAGGAACTTTCCATGCAAGTGGCTCCGCAGAAGGGCGAGGCAGTGAGCCAGCAGGCGCTGCTCTCGCTGATCGAAGGAGAGGTCCACGAAGCCCTCTGGCTGAAGGAAGAGGAAGGTCACCTGATTTTTGCAAAAAACCAGTGCCAGGGCATGCTACTGAGCTTCGACAATTCCATATCGACTGCAGCTCGAGGGGCCACATGTCCCAAGCACTGCTGCAGCTGCCTGCTTGCCGCGGGTTCGAAGAGCACCCGAAAGACTTTCGCATTCCAAATATCCACCACCTGGCCGTCATGAAACAAACGCTTGTCATGGCCCGACATGTGTGCATTTGAAAGGTGCCTGAAAGTAAAGCAAGATCGTAAGCTGCAGCTTCGCGTCAACCGTCTTGCACAAGCCTGCATACCACCCAGCACAGTTGTTGCTAGGAGGCTTCGATGTACACATCCAGACATTCAGCAGGGCTGCACAGAAGCTCGCGCAGTTGTGCACTGGTCAGGAAGAGTCGGTGTCCACATCGTCTTATTGCGAGGAACTTCGCCAGAGGCGCCTCGCCATCTTACATGTCGTCTGCGTGTAGAGCTTCATGTTCCTGATGATATTTATAGTATAATGGGCCCTAACACCCTATTCTATATCAAATCTATACCATGCTATATGACGTTACATTATACTAGATCTTGTCATGACATGTCATGTCATGTTCTCTTGTATCGTGCAAAACAAATATCCATTGACTCCTTCATAAAATCTAACTCCAGACCGTGTCGGACTTCCGCTCGGAGGCCGACGTCCATTTGGGAGAGACTCAACCCTCGACCAAGGTTTAGGGGTAGGACTCAGCATTTGGGGTTAGGGTTTAAGCTTTTTGGTGTTTCGCACAGACTCGCACAAGGCTGATATGGCTTCAGGTCCGCAAGCTTTTTAGGGTTTCGTTCAGGGAACCACAGAAAGTGCAGTGTCACACCTCATCGAAGCTCGCCAGTAACCTGAGCTGCAAGCGAAGCTGTTTCAGGGAGCAAACCTCAAGCGTATCTTCTCGACGCTGTCCCTTTCAGATTCCTGATCCATGTTCACAAGCAAAACAGAAAATCTTCTCGAAGTCTAGCTGCTTCAGCATGAGAGCGAAGTTGGGAAGGTCGATTGGAGTTTGCTTGGGGTCTGGTCTCCGTGCAGACACGTAGTCAAAGTCAAGCATGCCTTCAAGCGGCGGCAGCCACCTGCGCTGTCACACGAGGAAACCAGACTAGAACATGCCACAGGATCAGACTGCCCCTGACCATGCCGCCTTGTCCAATCCATCTTCCACGGACCGCCCTCGTGGGTGATGTTTCGCCAGTGTGACCCATCTCCAAGTTCCTGATGCTTGCTACACACAAGTTAAAGCTAAGATGGCGCAATTGCAGCAAGAGCCAAAGAGCTAATTGGGCAAAGTGCGGAGAGGTCCATCCGCTGCATGCGTCTGTCGAGTGCACTCTCCCACGCGTTGAGAACGAACAAGTGCTGCCCGACTGCCCGGTCCGCCGCTGACAACCTAGCTTGTAAACTGTCAGATCTCAGTCTGCAAACGAGAGACCAGGAACAAATTTCACCTCAGAGTCCGGCATGTCCAGCTGGTAGTGGCCGGTTGGACAGTCATAGTTGACGCACATAAACGTGCGAAGGTACTTGCATCTGGAGACATACTCCTCCATCGTGGTTGTCTGCAGCATCGACATGACTTGGACAAGTCGATCTTGAGGTAGACTGCATGCGCACAAGTACTCTGTCTGGTTCACCTCAGCTCAGGCAAACCAGGTACCTCCTTGTGTGTTTTGGCGATGAGTCGATGAGTTTCTCGCTACACACACGATGCGGATACTTGTCAAAAAAATGGCAAGGAGTGCGATCACAGTGAATCGGCATGGCGCAAACCAGTGGGTATGCCGGTTCAGCGGGATGCATGCAGCACAACCAAGGGGGGATCGCCAAGTAAATCTGCAACGATATTAAGTATGGTGATAGTCAGTGATGGTAGGAAGTAATTAGTTGTTCTGGTTGTCGACGTCGACGTCTCTGGTGGTCATGATGGGTAATGGTATAGTGGTGGGCGTTGCCGTGGCCAGGGGGTGGCGGTGGTGGCGGTGGCGGCGGCGGCGGCGGTGGCGGCGGTGGTGATGGTGGTGGAGGTGGTGAGGTGTTGGTGGTGGAGGCGGCGGTGGTGGCGGTGGTAGTGGCGGTGGCGGTTCTCATAAACATTATTGTTATTATTAACTTGATTATTTTTCTTCTTCCTGCTTTTGCGCTCTTGTTCTTGCACTAGCACTTGCTCTTGCTATTGTTCGCTACGACAGTGTTGCATTATTACCATTATAGTTGTGGTTGCGTCGTCGTCATGCGTGGTCGTCGCTGTCGTGGTCTTCATCCTTCGTCGTCAGCAGGGCTACTTTGTTGCTAGTATTGTGAAAATCTGCTGTCTGCCAACTCTGGAAATGCTGTTTTTCCTAGATATGCGTTTCACATCCGTTTGGGGATCCGTTTTGAATCCGTTTGGGATCCGTTTTCGATCCGTTTCCGGCAAACGGATCCAAAACGGATCCTCCAATGGACCCCCAAACGGACCGCCAGACGGGTCCTGCGGCAGATCCCCGAACCCACGTTTCCCTCGAGAGGGATGTGTTTTTGATCCGTTTTGGATCCGTTTCGGATCCGTTTGGAGATCCGTTCGCAAATCCGTTTCGGGGTCCCGCCGGGGCTGGGGCCAAAACGGATCCCCAAACAGATCCTTAAATGGATCCAAAACGGATCAAAAACGCATTCCGGCATGCATGTGAAGCGGATTATTAGGCTTCTGCACAGCAACCCAGTGTTAGCAGAACCAGATTTTCACAATGCTAGTACTGGCAGTCGTCGTCTTTGTGCTCCTCCTCCACCTCCTCGTAATTTAGCGGTTGCAGTAGCAGCTGCGGCCATGGTGGCAGTGGTGGCGGTGGGTGGCCACGCCGGCCTTCACATGTTGTACTGGTAGCAAGAACTCCCAGGCCACCTCCTTCCGGTTTTCCAACCCAATGAAGCGTGCTGTCAAGTGCTGTTCGAGTCACAAAGCCCATCGAGGTAATATGGTGGTGATTGGGCGGTACTAAACAAAGAGAACACCCAAGCATAGAAATACTGCAAAGACAACTTCTCACAGCTGCAGTTGTTTGTTCTTACCTCCAGAGCACAAAGAGGCCGATAAAGCTGTATGTTGGTTTTGGGGGATGTGTTTAGATCTTATTGCGCTTTGTCTGGGAATGTACGGATCTCGGGTGAAAGAAAAGTCGGGGAACCATAGTCGGAAACAAGCAGGCACGAGTCGGGAAACAAGCGGGCAGCAGTCAGGAAACAGAGGGACACGAGTCGGGAACCATCCGCGGCGGAAGTCAGGAATCAAGCATTCAAGGAATTACGAAGCCGTGATATTATTTTACAGTACGCCTTTTAAACTCACACACGCGCTGCGCGCAAATAGCAAAACCGTGGCTATGAGGTGTTGGGGCTTCTTTTAATGCAGAGGCGACAATGGTTCGGTCAACATAAGCAAAGTTGTAAGTAGCATGTCCTGTTGACCGAACCATTGTCGCCTCTGCATTAAAAGAACCCCCAACACCTCATAGCCACGGTTTTGCTATTTGCGCGCAGCGCGTGTGTGAGGTTAAAAAGCGTATTGTAAAATAATATCACGGCTTCGTAATTCCTTGCATGCTTGATTCCTGACTTCCGCCGCGGATGGTTCCCGACTCGTGTCCCTCTGTTTCCTGACTGCTGCCCGCTTGTTTCCCGACACATGGTTCCTGAAAATCTCGCATGGTTCCTGAATTAGTCAGCTTCCGTACGGACTTTGAGGGTGCGTTATGGGGTGTTGGGGTGTCGGGAATCTAGCTAGTATGATGGTAGTAGTTGTAGCAGAACAAGCAGCTCGCATCGGAACCGTGTTGACTGCACAGCTCATTTCTCTATACAATCAGGCTCATTGATTTGCTCAGTCCCTTTGCCTGCTGCAGCCGCGGATTCAGGAATCCATTCTTCGACGAGCTCAAACATCTCAAAACCAGCAATCAAGTTCGTCAGTGCTCTAAAGCATCCGGCTTGCTTCGAGATCCTTGCTGCAGCACCTCTCTAGAGAGGCTTTTTTGCTCAACTTGATTAGAAAACAAAGCCCTCAAATTTTGCTGCTCCAGGCCTGCTACGGCGCAAAGTGAAGAACTCTCGTTTCAACTGCGGCTTTCCAAATTCAGTTCAGATGCTGCACTGGCCCAGACGAAAGCCCGGATCTGCTCCACGGACAAGACAAAGTCCTTGAACAAGCACTGCAGCATGGTCTCTTGCTCCTGGCTTGCTCAAGCTGCCCAAAACGGATTTGAAGGTTGGAGCAGGCAGGCAAACACATGCACCATGGGCAGAGTGATTTCGCAGCAAAAGCAAGCCTGTCCTTGGCTCGGAAGCGATTCCTCCTCCAAAGTGCTAGCAGGGGAACCACCTGGCAGTTTCAGAACGATCTCTCGTGGACCATCGCCGGTGTGATCGTGGTCTAGCGATCTGTCATCACGCTATTGACTATGTTGCTAGCTCTTAAGTAGATGTCTACAACTCATGCAACCGATCCCGCAGCGGAGCCTTGTGCACAGCAGGCTTGACTCGCCGGTTCCGTGTATACTGGGCAAGGTAGCCGTCGAAGCTTGAAAACCGCCCTCCCTCCAAGGACTCATTGCCTGCAGGGTGGGTCTACGGCTTTTTCGCTCCACTTCGGTCCACCGACATCACGACACTCTTCGTGCGAAGCCCAGCCTATGCCGTCCACTTGGAAACTTACTGTGAGATCTCCTCCAGTGGCTAAGTTCCAGGTACCCCGATTCTTGTGAGGATGCTGGTACCCAGTGGAGCTCTTCAGCTGTCCAAAGGAAACGGACGGTCTGATTCTGAATCGCTCGCTTGTCTTGTAGAGGCGCCGCAGAAGAGCTCGATGGTAAGGCCGAGCCAGATCAAACTCAAATTGCCCCGAGGGACTTTCTGGGCAGAAGACCTGCTTCGAGTCCTGCACCGGGATGTGAGGTCAAACCTTCCCCGCGGATTATGTCTGACGGAAGGTGCAACTTCCAAGCAGTACCGGGTCCTTGTCCAAACTGAAGGAGGCACTTTCATATGCGCACCCTTCACAGTCGAACCATTCCAAGCCTGACGTCTTCTGGGCCAAGAGCCGGAAAAGGCAGCGCTGCCCACGCACTCCAAGGGGGTTGTCGACCTCGGGTGCCGGCGGCGAATGGGTCAGGGCAATGACATGCCTTTGTACAGGGTCATCAGCTGCGAAAGAGTAAAGCAAGGGACGATCACGAGCTGCTTCAGGCACCGCAGGCTCTCACACGCGTCTTCGAGGATGAACGCGCCACGGAAGTCTATGTGGTTGAATGTAATGTTCAGGAAAGACCTCAGGCGTCGTCAAGTCGCCAGGCTTTCTGTTCACCAGCAACAAGTTGAAGCGAAACCAGAGTCCCACACAATTTATGGGCATTCGGCAGCTGTTCAAGGAAATGCTCGATTGGCAAGTCCTGCCGGAGTCACACGGGAGCACTTGTCATTTCCCAGCAGTCCAGCTGCAAATGTCTCGACAAACATCATAACAAGACGATCAGGGAAGTAACACTTCGATATACCCTACTAGCAATCATTTCAATTCATCCAGTCCCGAGTCGAACGCGATGAGCTGGAACATCCGGCAATGCTCAGGGTGCGAAGCTTCACCGCAGCTGTCAAGCAGCGGCCCAGCTGTGCAAAAGATGCACTGTCGAAGGTGTTCCTCAGCTCTTCAAGATTCCGTCATGTTCACTCTACCGAAAGAAGGTCGGCCACGGCTGCATCCAGGGCACCAAGACAAGTCAACCTCCTCGCATGGGGAGAAGAACTTCACTGAAGAAACAGCCGACTTGAAAAAACTCAGCAGTCTGAAGTCTGCTTGGCCCTAGGGCACCCCTATAGGTTCCCTGCCTCCAGCAAGTAGCCTTGAAAAAGGCAGCTGAGACTGCCTTTGGCGCTGCGAACTCCAAGCCGCCCAATTCCGAGACTCGCCAAGCCCACTTTGCTCAGGGTCGGGTGCTGTCCTTAAACGGCACCGTCAAAGCTGCGCTGGGGACCTCTCCGTGCTTTCTTGGGCCCGGGCCGATGGCATCGAGCAGAGGGCGCACGGAGCCCATGGGCAGGGCGATTCCGCTCAGCTCCAGCGACCACAGGAGACCCAAGCCTGGGGCTTTACGCTCTCACAACTCGGACACAGCCAGGCGAGGTTCTTAGGTGCGGAGTCGGTGTGAAAAGAGAACAAAGTTGATTCTCACGTGTGCCAGTTCACCACGGGGAGACTACAAAGTACAAAAGCAATAAGTAAGCAACACAGTTCATGGGAGAATCCTATGCTGTCACAGTGTCCAATTCGCATCAACGTGGGACTGCAGGATAACTTGAACACCAAAACCGCTCACGGTAAAAGTAACACACATGTTCGGACACTGATATCTCTGCTACTTTGAGCATCCTAGAGAGAATCCTATGCTGTCACAGTGTCCAACTCGCATCAACATGGGACCACAGGATAGCTTGAATACCGAAGACCGCTCACGGAAAGTAAAACACATGTTCGGACAGGCTCTAGGGTTGAGAGTCCCGAGCCTCTAGGTCGAGGATCAAGGATTCCAGACTACAACCGTGGTCGAGTGCCACTTATATCAAGCTATCTGCCTTCATGGCTACCTGGCTACCTGTTTCAAGCGCGTGTGTTTGACTGTGTGTGTATGTGTGTACATACGTTGCACATACACAGACATACGCACACACACACACACACCTACAAATATATATATATATATATATATATAGATAGATATAGATAGATAGATAGATAGATAAGTATAGATATGTATCTATATATATATATATATCGTACATGCAAGCATATATAGGCTTGTGCTGACGATTGTTCCGCTTGACAGCTCAGGGCATTTCATCAGAGAACACCCAAGCCATGGCTTCTAGGAGGGTGTCTGAGAAGCACACTCCAAATGTAGTTCAAAGTTGACGGCCCTTGCTGCCGCAGAGTCGCTGTACCACTGCGGTACCCGTCTGCATTCTTGGAAGAAGACAGGAACCCTTGCCTGACATGCCCTTCCAAGCAAATACACAAAAGAAAAACACGTAAGTCGCATTCTCTTCAGCTTGCAAAGGCCCGATTTCTCGTGTTGGCAACCTCCCCGTGTTTTGGTGTGCTCTCCTTCTACAGAAACCGAAACTGAAATCAATACTCTACAGCAAATGCGTGCAGAAGCAAGTATCTCTTGTGGCGCTGGCCGCCTTCTACAGGTTGTGTGCTGCCAACGCAGCTCAAACGCCAAGCAGAGAAATAGAAGCTTGGCAGTTTGGTGGATTGTCAGGATACTTCATATCCCGCTGCGGATGAGGAACCGCCTTGATTCATGATGGCGGTAAGCAAGTTGATGGAGGCTTCGCCCAGTGATCGGCAGCGGCTCAAGTTCAGCAAGGAAAGGCATGTCCTGCAATACAAAACGAGGAATCATCGTCAACGGAATGGAAGCAATCCAGAATCATGTCAGCCAGGCTCTAAGGGGTACCAGTAGTTGACTGCTTCCTGTCTGACGTTGCAGCCGACCCCTCATCCCTTTAGGCTCTCGTCTTGCATCCGAGCGACTTCTTCTCACCGACTTCTCGCCTGGTGGAACATTTGAACATGTAGATCTCGTGTCGTGGAGTCGGCAGCCGCAGATAGCCGCAGATGTCTGTGCAGTCAAGTGGCAGGAACGGCATCATTCCTCTGTCAGTCAGGTTTGCGTTGTCCGACAGATCCACTTCCTGTGAGGGCAAGCTCGCAAAATTCCAGCAGGGCTTAAATGTCCGTGCAGCGATGAACCTCAGGTCTAAATTTCGAGACCCGGTCCTCAACAAGCTCTACCTGCCTGGTCAAGGTCAGAAGGCTCAACAAATCCTCGGGGTCACTACATTTCATCAGCGGGAGAGCAGGCCAAGCACACGGATCCGAGAAGTCCTGGTCCGTGAGGCTGTGGTTTGCTGCGTGGAGGTTCGGCGAGTGGCCCGTGACGAACGGCAACGGCCGTGGTCGAGTGCCGAGCTTGCTGCATGCATGTATGTACCTTGCGGTGAAACCGTGCTTGCACCCGAACACGCCTATCTAGTCAAGCATCTGCTTGTACTTCTGCTGATTCCTGAAGCCCGGAAGCACATCTCCCCCAACGTTCCTTGCCCTGTTGTGTATGAAATGTCTGTCTCGTAGCTGAGATTCGGGGTGACAGTATTTCTGGGGCAAGTCCACTACGGACGACCATAGGGTGTGGCGATTGAGTTGCCCTGCCCTGCCCTGCCCTGCCTGCCCTGCCCTGCCCCACCCTGCCCCCTGCCCCTGTCCCCCTGCCCCCTGCCCCCCCTACTGTAATCGCAGGCTTCCGAGCCGTCGTCGGTAACTCGGAGCGTACTCTGCAACTGTTCTGGCTGGTTGCTGTTCGAGCGGTGCGTCCATCACCGGCAACTCGTCCAAGCCTTCAACTTTGTCCAACATCCCCGGATCGGCCAGAATCATTGGCGAGTTCACCACCTGCGCCAACACGTCCCCAGCATGCAAGCACAACACTTTGCTGCAGAATCCATTGCCAGCTTGCCTCTCGCAAATAGCAACACCAACCGAAACCTCATGGGTCGCAAAACAGCAGTGTCTTCTAATTGCTGCTGGATATACTGCGGCTAAAGCCTACACAGGCTGAGACTGCTAGCAGCAGGATCAAGACGAGCAGCGGGTGGAGACGTCCATGTTCTGTAGGTCCAAGACAGACTCATCGAGATCGTTTACGGCAGCGGGTCCTGTGAAAGCGTGGCTTTGATGACAATGATGATCTGGCATAGAAAAAGCACTTCAAGCCCGAATCATCCCGTAAAACACACGAGATTTGTTTGAATCACCTGGCCCGTGCCCAGGACCGGCCATACAAGCGGTGCTAACTGCGTGCCTGGCAGATCAGCCCATGTAGACACAGGAGAGTCGCCACCTCTGCATCTCGACGGTGTGCGGACTCTCTGCTCAGAAAACCCGACGACATTGCAGAGATGCCACCATCCAAAAAGAGCGAGGAAGTCCACTTCAGAGACATTTGAGTTCGTGTCGACGAGAAATCTTTGCGGGCACCTGCACACTAGAAGCTCAGGGTGGCAGGTAGCGAGGTGCTGCAAGTAACATTTAAACGATCCTGCCTCCCGGAGCTGTCGCAGCTCTGCTGGAGGGCCGCACACCGAATAAGGAGGAAGTCCAACTCCCAAAGATCTCTGGTTTCGGCGTCGATCTCTTCCCGCGGAACTGCAAGTCCCATGTGTCCGACGAAGTGCAAACTACCTCGGTCCAAGCCATCGTCGAATCCGTGAACTCCACTCTATGGAAAGCAGCAACAGTAGCCGAGGTAAGGTCTGGTGCAGATGCCCAGCTAGTTGAGGGCCGGCACTTGTAGCTTTGCCAGAAGTCCTGGACCAGCCGCTGCCATGTGCCGGGGCTGTTTTCACACCGCATCACTGCCCGGTGGTCCGTCCATGAAGTGAGAGTTTCCGAAAATAGGGAACCCCAATACAGTGCCCTAAATAGTAGAATCCTTATTATAAGGACCCCATAATGAGGTCCCCCTAATTTTCGCAGACTCCCAAGTGGAAATCTGCTTCCACCAAGCACGGATAGTCCCGGCCTCGAGGTGGAACTCGTGAGCTGCCGTGGTCGCGAAGTGCCCTCTCTTTGGCTCGCTGGGCTGCTGATGTACTGCCTCCACCTGCATGGACCGGCGCAGCGATGTAACGAGATCATTCTGGAACAGGGGAGACACAGCGACACAGGGCCAGTTACATCCCAACGCCCCCGCAGAGCCTGCTGGACTTGCACTTGTAAGGCCAAGAACGAACGGTGCGTCCGGATCAACGTCTTGCAGATTCTCCGGAAGCCTCGGTCTTTGCGCAGGTACGACTCCCTACTTTCTACGACAGGTGAGTGAAGTTTAACAAGTGAGCTTAAACATGACTGTCTCGTATTGTGATCCTAGCACACACTTGCGAAACATCCGTGAGAGGTGGCTCGCGACTTGCGTTTGCTGTGCTGCCAAAAGTCGCTGATTTGGTGGCTCGCCGCTCGCTTCCCCACAGGTATGTGTCCAGGCGCATGTCAAGCATTCAGATAATCGTTCGTGCAAGGTATCGCGCACCTCATCTGGCAATGCAATATCTGGTCAAGATCCGCTGCACCCGCAAGATTTGCTTTCAGTCTGTGGACATTTTGTGCAGGGCTCTGCAGCTCAAGACATGCCGATTCTGTGTAAGCGGAGGAACGAACTCAGTCCACGTGCCAGCAGCGCAAGTAGCCTTTGTGTTTCGAACCTCCAGATGTGCAGGACACCCCGAATCGCCCTGAAGTTGCAGATTCCTTGCGACGGGAAGTATCTAGATACTTCAATGTGCTTGAACTTTCTGGGGCTGGTTTGGAGAAAAAGTCGAAATCAGCTAATCATCCCAATGAAGAGCTTGCTTTGAGACTGATGACTCTTCACCAGAAGTCAGCCCGATCACAACTCACCGGCATTGATGCTGGTGAGTGACGATCGGGCTGACTGCGGGCTGACTTCTGGCGAAGAGTCATCTTGCGGCGAATACAGAATGCAACTAAGGCCAGCCAGAAAAAAACCAAGTCGGTCAAGAAGGCGACCGATCCACAATGTGTTTGGAGTGTACCCTAGCATCAGTCTAAAACCTTGCTCCACTGTCGGAATGTCTGCCTGTCGTGGCGATACAGGCCATGCAGACTCCGGGGAACCAGCTGGCGGCTTGGAGACCTGCAACAAACTTCGAAAGCTCCAAATTAAACCTCGGCTCAATGAATGATGCCTCCGCGCGTCGCAACCACGCACTTAGGGCTGCCAAGGTCTGTTGCCGGAGCTCTTCAGCCAGCTCACCTGGAAGTTGGCCGCTGCACCGCACACGGGTTATTACAGGCATCAGCTAAGCAGGACATGTGCATGCTATGCCGTCACCAAGAGCAAAAAGTCACCGGAACAACTTCAAGGAAGGTCGATGGTGTTTGCCGTTGTCTATCAGAGCTGAGCGCAGAACTTCGCTCTGGATCGGCATCCTTAAAACCACCAGATGCTACGAAATTATACTCCCAAGCAAGAAACACAGCATCCATCACCAAAGACTGCAGGTGGCTTGCAAATGAGTTTCAAGGATGACATCACCAAGGTCCTCTTGAGTTTCTGCCGAAGGCAACTTTTCCGGAAATAGTTCGCGAGCTGGAGGAATGCGGGTGCTCAGTTTCCTCAGAAGTCGAGGCAATAAAACGGCTGCAACTATGGGTCATTGCACATGCATCCATGAAAACTGTCCTAATTCCCTGCAAGGCATCCGTTTTTTCACCATCCTGATGGCATGTGGAGCATCCCGTGTGCCACTTCGTCGCGATCGCAGACGGCAGGTTCACATGCCCGCGAAGCTTCATCTGCGCCACACTACGAGGAACGATTGACCTCACCCACGTGTTTGTCGAGTCTAGAATCCTGGTGAGTTAAAATTGTTTACACCTGGTCGCCCTGAATCCCCACCGCATGGCATAATCATCGAACCATTGAGCCAAATGCTGAGCAGGAAAGCGTTTTCACGTCAAAGACCGAATGATTTAGCGGACGCCCTGCCCCCCCCCCCCCCCCCCCCAACACACACACACACACGCGCGCGCATATACAGTCGTCCCGTGCCCTGTTCATGTCCTTCTTCGATACGCACCACGGACCATGGGCACATTGGCAAAAATTGGCAGCTGTCTGCCCGAAACTGGCAGCTGCGCTGTGCTATACCCTGAGAGCAAGCAAGCCTCTTGCGACGGCAACTTGCGAAACCCAAGAGCAAGGCTAAGCTACTTGAACGTCTTCTCCGGTCGGCTATCGATTTCCTGCGCGTCCTGCTGCCGGCTTCACTTCGCCGGCATGAGGTGCAATCAAGTCGTGCGCCAGATCGTCCGTGTTCGTTCGGGGAAGCTGCTGAACCACGGGTGCGGTTTGAGCACTCGTCAATCTCCTGGCAAGAAGGTCGCACCGCTGGAAACCGCCAGGTTGCGCAGGAGCGGAGCAAACTGCGAAGCAGTGTCCTTTTTCTTTGCCCGGCTTCTGCGGCATTTTCTTGGCCTGCTGCATGACGATGAGCACATATTCGTTTTGGCATCTTGCTCCGTGCCTCCCTTGTGCAGGCTGGCAGATGCCAGCTTGCTGGACGGATCTCTTCGTCACTGCCACCGTCTGAGAGCATGGGCACCATGCAGGCAAAATGACTTGTAAATTCTCGCACTGCGACTCTGATTCGCGGTCCTGCGAAATCTGGTGCACTATACCCTTCCGCATCGGACCTCCAACAGCAGAGTCACGCAGAGGACTCAGCGTCTCGAGTCAACACTGAGGAGTGTACGATGGGCCAAGCCTGCAATCAGTTTTACCGGTGGCCATGTCTTAGCTCGTGATGGAGCAAGCCAACCCTTTTGGGAGTTTCCGAAAATATTGGGTACCTTATTTTGGGGTCCTTATAGTAATAGGATCCCACCATCTAGGGTACCATATGAGGGTCCCTTATTTTGGGGAACTCCCTTTTGGACAAGTTAGGCCGGAATGCCTGGATCGCAAGTCCAATAGCTCGGCGCAGCTCGGATTCTGCAGCAATCCATTCCTTCTGCGCGACAAGGCTGATCTTCGGGCTCGGGATCTTCTCACTTCCCCACCTCTGTGGCTTCGGAGCCCTTGACTAAGGCCTTTGCTCCGCAAACGCGATGGCGACGTCATGCATGCCGACCTCTTAAATCCGCCCGCAAACCGACATCATCCGACATCCCTTGCAAAGTGCAGCTGGCCTCGACGGCACAGCTTGCACCTCTCCATGACGACCTTAAGGGCCCATTCTGCGAGGGTCAAGGGTGCCGAGGCAGCACAGCAGTTCTGAGCAGACTTTGTAGCTCAAAGGGCCTTGCTTAGAGTGGCTCGGATCATGTCGCAAGGCCTTGGCAGACGGGCAGCAGATGGCAGTGAGCATGCGAAAAGGCTTGCAGACTAAGTTCGAAGCAGCATGGCATCTGTCGATTGCCTGGACAAGCATAGCATGCTCGTGTCTGTCTCCTGCACGGAAGGGACATCTATGTCTGTGGCCTCCAGCCATCTTTTCTGCTTCATCAGGGCCTGTGCTGCTTCGGAAGCTGCGGCAGTGATCGATCATGCTACAGGTCCTTCCTGTGCGCTGTTTGAATGAAGAGCCGTTGCCAATTGCTTGACAGACGAAGAATCGCCTGACAGGCAGACTGACGGCTGACAGGCGGTGACAGAACCGGCTTCAGAAGGCACTACTAGTACTGAAGGCGGCACGCAGTATTCGTTTCGTCTTTCCGAGTGCCAGCTGCGGCCTCTTCCAGGCTCCAAGAGGGCATCCAGATCCCGTAAAGCCTGGCGAAGCAGATTTTTCAACGAGTACCAGGCTTTCACGCTGCCTGGCCTCTGCATAGATGCACAGCGCACCTGGCTTAAGAGGGGGATGGCCAGGTTGATGCCACAGCAACTGGATGTAAGGATGCATGGACAAATACTTGGGCTCGCTCCTTCAAAGTCTTTGGCAGCAAGCTTCCGGTTCCCTCTCTCCTTCTTCGAACACTTCGCCGCACGAAAGTGTTAGCCTCACAGCTCCGCTCCGACTCCTTGAGCTCCGTCACGTGGGCGCAAGCTTCCTTTCGAGGACCGGGATTCGGGGGGCTGGACTTAAGCCATCATCAGGGTCGGGGGTCGGGTTCTGCAGGCCGAGCAGCTTGGGTCGAGTGCGCGCCGTCTTTGGACGCCATGATGGCTCACGCTGGCGACAGCTGACTAATTACTGTGCTATGCTTGAGGCCTGGCTTTAAATCGGTTCAGTATGGACGTCTTGCAACAGGAGCAGAGCCGTTTCAAGCTCCGAAGCCCATGTTCGCTGGTCGGTCAGAGCACTAGGAAGCGCAGCGATTGGTAGAACAACAAGCTCACTCTTGATCTCTGAACGGCCACTGTGCTCTTTTTCCGTGCTGCTTCATCCCGCTCTCTCCACTGCCAGCCTAGGCCTCACGACAGCATTTGATAGTGCCCTCCGCCGTGCGTTTGGAAAACGCGAATGGCATCGCCCCTGCGCTAAGAACACTAGATTGCTGGCTAATGGAAGGGGGTGCCTCAAGCAGTGAAATCTGGGTGGGGGCGGATGGCGCAAAGTTCTTTGGGAATGTCGTCGGGTTCTCGTGTCAGTGCATTCCTGTTTTCAGCGTCCTCTATGTTCTCGGGCCGTCCTTGCTACGATGTGTAACCGCAGCGTTGCAGTAGTTTGTATAGCACAAATCTCGGAACCGAACCTGACGGCCCGGCCTGGCTTCTGCATAGCATGTGGCTTCGAAGTACGGAAGGATCTGCGTGCGACACATTCAAGGCAAACCAATCTCCGCAAGTCGATCTCTGTCGGAGCCTTCCATTCGTCACCATCTGCCTAAGCATTAGGTCTGGGAAGAGAAGTTTTGCTTGGACTGCCGGCCGGTCCTGCTCAAGCTTGATCTCGTCTTGCGAGACCTGAGTGCCAAGATTGCTTTACATACGCCTGCTGCATGCATTGGACCGTGCCAACGGTATGGCCAGCAAGTTAGTTTGGGACCGCCGAAACCGTGTCAAACCCTTTCCCAGACCTGCTCTTCTCGTCGCTTGTCGGCTTGAACCTCCTGCGCAGGCCCTTGAAATCTGGGCATATCCCGGCAAGCCGCTGGCAGCCTGATGCACCCTGCAGCCCCCTCAAGCTTCGACGACATTATCATGCAGAGTAGAAGCACAGGCAAAGACTACGCAACTGACCACTGGCAGCTGCATGTCGGCGCAGGCAGCTGCCCCTTGCTGCTTTACCGGGATCTGTGCATCCCAAGTCAGAAGAGCACACAAGAGGCCAACTAAGGTGAGATAGTCGCTGGCCAAGGCTTTGCCACTATAAGTGTGCAAAGCAGCCTGTCCTATGCTGGCAAAAAACAATGCTCACTGCATCAGCGGGGCTGACTTTAAGCATAGATGCACCCCGAGATACAAGGCAACGGTGAAAGGTTCTCAGTCTCTGCCACTTCAAGGATACGACTTGGCGGTGCTGAGCGCTTGGTCTAGCTTTGAGGCATCTCCCTGACCTTGTGCACGGTCGTCCTGCCCGGGACTCATCTTCTTAGGCATTGCGTCCTTCCCCCCTTTGATAAGCATGTGCCGGAGCCTTTCCGCCGCCCTTCCCGCCGATCGCGTCTAAGACCTGCCGAACGCTCAAAGCCTCGAGAAGTCCGTCTTAAAAGGCAAAGACGTGGCCTTGCCGGACCAGACTTTCGCCGAGAGCTTGCCAGCCAATGCTTTAGGCACAACTGCCAGAATTGCCAGCTTTCCACCCATGTTGCTCATCAGCATTATTGCCTCGTGCAAGCAACATGGCGGAGCTTCACAGTGACGTTCTTGCTTACGCCTGTGCTGGCTGGAAACACTGCTCTGACCTGCCTTGCTTGGGCACTGCTTGATTGCCGCCTCCATCGCTGGTGTTAGGACTTTTGCGTCGTCGCAGCCTGCGCCTGCTTGCACGACACCCACGAAGGTCTCGCCAGATGCTGCTGCAGCTTCCTTGCCTGAGCGCTGCCATTCTGGTCGTTTCGGGGAGGAACTACATCTACATAGTGTACATAGTAGAGTTCACTAATTGAGCCTTTCAGAAGTGTTCCATGGCTGAGGCTAGATGCCCAGCTTCTCGCCGTCTTCCTTGGCCTTGCCTTCGAACTTCTTTGTTTCGGCCTTGCCCGCTTTGAGGGAGCCCTTCGCCCTTAGCTTCTGAGCAGGAGCGCAAGCAAGAGCGCACAAACCTTGCCCGTGCTACACAAGCGTGCGGGCAGGGTGCAAAGTTTCAAGTTCCGTCATGATGTCGGACTTCATGAGCAAGGAGACCTCTTTGTCCTGCATTTCACGAGGAAGCACTTTCGCCTGGAGCCACAAAGTATACCTAACGATGACGGTCCTCTGTGACTCTTCGGCGTAAATCGCCAATGCATTTGTCCAGCTCGGCTCCAGGGGACATGCCCTTGAAGCCATCCAAATCCGAACCTGCACACTCGGAACCTTTTAGGAAATCCACCGTCCCGCCAGAAGGCTCGTGATAGGAGCATGGTGCTGACCAGGAGCTCAGGCTCTTCGCCTTGAGGGTCGCCTCAACAGCTGCTTGAGGTCCTTGCCGCATCTTCTCATGTCGTGATCGTAACTCGCAAAAACCCAGCGGGAGCTCTGAGCTCGCCAGGCCTGTGACTGCAACAATGCGCCGAATGCCTTTCGCGATACCCTCCTCCTGGAGCAAGACGAACTTGTAAATCTCCTGCGGAAAAAACGTACAGCCAAGGCAATGCAAGGCTCCCTTCCCTGAGACACCTAGCCTGCCCCACCATGGTATCACGACCTTACCTTGCCCACAGTGCCCCACGAGCATTATGTATGCCTTGTACCTTCCCTGCTGCAGGTGTTGGTTTGGCCAAGTACGAAGAAACCACATAGACAGGCCTTCAGAGCTTTGCTCCGAGGCTCGTCCACTGACAGCGACTCAGAGCAAAGGAGATCCCTTCTGCGCGCCCGGGGACGGCACACAGTCTTGGTCGCTACAGTAGCCGCCAACACCTGCACTAGCCCCACCACCGCGACCGTCATCACCATCCCACCAGCATCATCACCATTTCCAGCGACATGCGGCCGCAGCACAGCATCTCTCCACCATTCCGTACCTCATGGACGGGAAGAAGTGAAGGGAGGGACTGTTTTTTTGGACAATTCCAGTCCACGGCTTCTCAACCCTCTTTCTGATCCTTCGAACATCTCAGGGCTTGAACGCTGCTATCATCTGCTATCGGTCCTTGCTGTTGGCCACGTGTGTACCACCACAGAACTCCACGCTGTTTTGCAGGCCCCATGGAGTCTTCTTGTCGGTGAGCAGGTCGTCAATCTTCGGACCGACGCTGACGACTCGGACAGGATCCGGGTAGGTTTCGCCGAAGACCGCTCCTTGGTGCAGCTCCGGATGGCTTTCATACAAAATCTCTGAGAAGTCATGGATGCTTCGGATTCTAGCATGCCGAGCTGCTCAGTCCAGAAATGGCTTTTGCGGTGTCCAGTGCAACATCGCGGTAATGCACGACGCAAGCTTTCTGCACCATCTGATTGCAAATTTCTTCAATCTTTTTGAGCTCCTCTGGCTCCACTGGCTTATTGTGGGAGAAGTCGAATCGGAGCTTGTCCTCTGTAACGAGCGAACCTTTCTGATCTACCTTCTCGCCCAGGATTTGGCGAAGCGCAAAGTTCAAGATGTGCGTTGCTGTGTGGTTCTTTGCCACCAGCGATCTTCGAGTGTAGTCGACCTGGGGAAGCGGCCGAAGACGATCAAATCCCAGCTGACAATTTTAACAGTTCTTTCGAAGACCCAGCTGTTTAGAAATCTGGCCCTCATAGAAACCATGACAGGGTTAGGACAGAGGCCTTCTACCAGTAGGTGAGTTTTCGCTAGTTGGTCTTCTTGCATCGATGGGCAACACGGATACTCCTCTTCGACGGCTGCCATTGGAAACCCACAAGACAAAACCAACAGAGCTGCGTTGCGGAAACTCAACACAAACCAGGACAAAATGCAAGAAAATGCTGCACATCAACCAAGAAGACTGCAGGCAAGCACGAGACAACTTAAGAGAAAATACAAAGACGAATCCGACTATAAAAGAGGTCCGGGGAATCCAGCCAGCCAGCATACAAGCCGATGTAAAGAAGAGCAGGCAAACACTGCACAATGTTCCAGACAACTTCAAACAAACAGAATGGGCAACACCCACAAAGCAAAAGATTACTGCATAAGCAACACTTGGTACTTCGAGTTGGTCGTCGTACCACTGTGCGAAAGGCAACACATCTCGACACTCTGATATCTGCAAACTGTTCGGCTGTGGTCACGCTTTGACGGCCAGGGCACCTTCACGCTCACTTCATCACCGACTTTCAAGTCGCCCTTGCTCTCAACCTGCCCGACATGGAGGACATAGCCAGCCTGAGTTGTGTAGTTGCTTGCACCGTTCCGCGCACGGAAGCATGGCTGCCTGTCTTCGTGCGGTAGTTCGCCCCGAACTACGAAAAGAAGCTTTCTCCGTGTAAGGCAGGTGCAGTTTTCAAGGGGAGGAGTGTGGATGGTTGGCAAAGGTGCACATGGGCACCGCAATCGGAGACCCCGTCTTCATTCTGCTTATTTCTGCTTTCGTGCTGTTAAAAATGCACCTGTGCAAACTCGTCTAGTCTTTCTTGCTGCCCTGGCTTGCCGTCTTTCATCGTCTTTCACAGCTATGAGCTACCCCTCGGCTGCTGCAGCTTGGGTTCTGGCTGTAAGGCGATCCCCAGTATGTAAGGTGAGGCGAGGTGAAGTGAATGAGTGATTGAGATTGTGAGCAAGTGAATGAGGGTTTGTTGCGTGTGTGTTTTGCATATGTGCGTCTGTATCTACGTAGGCTGGTTGGCTGCATGGCACTGCATGCATACATACGTGCATGCATGTTGCCTTGTTGGTTGCCGGCTTTGAGTAGCAGTTGCATGGCAAGCACCGGTCCCGACATACCCTGTGGGTTCACAGGCACCGTCCCAGCTGAAATGCACATGCAGCCCAGGCACGTACTTCTGCGTGGTGTCTACACTGAACTCGACACTGCCACAAGTGATCGAAGCCTTGCCAAGAGGGCTGCGAAGTCAGAGCAGGCGGAGAAGGAGAGAGAGAGAGAGAGACAGAGAGAGAGCTGGCCAATTCCGGTTCTGCGCCACCACGCCGTGCCTTGTCGAAAGTCTGGCCACCCTGCTCGGCATACAGAGGGGTCCGGTCTAGCACCAGCCCAACTACGTCGGAGCCGCTGTTGCAGGTCTTCACGAAATCCTCAACACAAAGGCCGCACAAGCAGAGCATGCAATCTATGTTGCACACCCACTCTGATGTGGCAGTTCTTGGACAACCCGCGCAACACCTAATTTGGCCGGGCCGAGGAGACTTCTCCAAACTATAGTATACAAAATGTATAGTACATCCCAATGCCCTGTAAGGCTTTTGACTTTGCTGTGCCTCTCCGTTGTAGATTGCTTGGATCTTGGCCTTGTGCTCGCTGCCATCGCCCTGCGTGAGCTAGAGCCGGAGTCGCAGTCTAGGAAGCGCCGTAGCCGTTTTGCGTCTTCATGCAGTATTCGGACTAGCAAAAGCGGTGACAGCTGTCGCCGTCTTCAGGCTAGAGTACAAGCTTTTGGAGTGTACGGTAGTAGTAGCGTAGCTACGAGTAGTCGCAATACTGTCGGCCCCCCACAAGTTCCCGCCCGCGGCCTCGGTGTTCCAATCGTACTTGAGTATATCATCGGTGGGCTTCAAGCTCATGCCCTTGATGAGCTTGTCTGTTTCATTGGCCTTCAGCTCCATATCCTCAGGGACCAGGGAAACAAAAGCAAAGCAAGTCAGCAGGAGCAGCGCCAACGGCATGTCTCGGCCTTTGTCGTTCTGGCAGTCTTTCGTTTCCTGGACTCGTCTCGGAACTGCTCCATCTTCTTCTCAAAGCCGGGCATGTCCACTTCGACCTTCAGCTCTTCGCCCATCAGCTGCGTCAGGTCCACGGGGAAGCCGTATGTCGTGAAGAGCAAGAAAGCATCTTCGCCCGTAATGGAGCCCTTCTTGGCGAAGGTCTTGAACTGCTTGATTCCTCGGTCCAGCGTTCTTCCGAACTGCGCTTCCTCTTCCTTGATAATCGCCCTTACATCTTCTGGATTTTGTCGCAGAGTCGGGAACGCATCCCCCAGCGTATCGAGAACGGAGTCAACTAGCTGGTGGAAGAAGCCTGGCGGAGCATCCAGGATCTCGCGCCCAAACCGGACGGCACGTCGGAGAATACGCCGCAAAACATAGCCTCGACCTTCGTTGGAAGGAGTTGCACCGTCGGTCAGCGCAATTGTGAGGGTCCTGATGTGATCTGCGATGACACGGTAGGCCATGTCAACGTGATCCTTGTCGTCTTCGCCAACCTTCCCAGTGTAGGTCTTTGAAGTTGCGGTCTTCTCCTTGATGGCCTTGAAGATGTGCATAAAGAGATCTGTGTCGTAATTGCTTCGAACATCAAGAAGGACAGACGTAACGCGCTCGAGGCCCATTCCCGTGTCAACGCTTTTCGCTGGCAGCTCGATGAGGCTTCCACCCTCTTTTCGCTCGAATTGCATGAAGACGAGGTTCCAAATTTCAAGCACATCTGGGTCATCCATGTTCACCAAGCTGCCAGCATCTCGCCCACCAATCCTATCATAGTGGATTTCGGAACAGGGCCCACAAGGTCCGGTGTCACCCATCTCCCAGAAGTTGTCCTTCATGTTGAAAGGCAGAATTCGCTCTGCCGGCAGGTATCGCAACCAAATCTTCTTTGCCTCTTCGTCAGAAGGCACGGATGGCTGCTTGGGGTCGCCGCCATAATAAGTCGCATAAAGCCTGGTAGGATCAAGGTGGTAGACTTCTGTGAGGAGCTCCCATGCCCACGTGATGGCCTCCTCCTTGAAGTAGTTGCCAAAAGACCAGTTGCCAAGCATCTCGAAGAAAGTGTGGTGGTAGACATCCTTGCCCACGTCCTCCAAGTCGTTGTGCTTGCCGCCCGCTCGAATACACTTCTGCGAGTTCGCCGCTCGCTTCAGCTTTGCAAACGGATGGCTCGGATCAACTTGGCCGACGAAGATGGGCTTGAACTGGTTCATGCCTGCAGCATATCATCTAACATTACACAAACTACAGCTGCAAGAAACGCTCTCCGCCAATCCTGCCTGCGTTAATAAACAGAAGAGTTGGGTCGTTATGAGGCACGACCGGGGAGGAAGCGATGAAATCATGCTGTTTCGACTTGAAGAAGTTCACGAAGGTGTCGCGGACTTCCTGCCAGAGCTAGGCATGAGCGCTGCTTGCACTGGCCTACGCTGCCATGACGACACGTGACGGGCATGTGCCTGAGCCGTCGTGAACTCTCCACTGCCCGGCCCCTTGCCACCTGCAGGATGCAGTCACTAGGCAAGGGTTTCCAATTTTGTCACAGCTCTTCCTGTCGCACCTTTCTTTGGCTTGGCTGCTGAGGAGCCGTTTTTGCCAAACTCCTTCTCTTCCGGCGATGTTAAAATCGATGTCACGTTCGTCACAGGCTGGAGGCCAATCGACGACAGGTAGCCATGGTTTGATGCCATGGCTCCTTGTGCTCCTGAGCTGATGACAAATAATTTCACACTGAGTGCAACTAGGACCAAGGCTTGAAAGCCAGGCAGCTAAAGAATGACTTTGCCTGGTGCGTCCAGCACGAAGGACACAACAAAACTTGAGCCGCGCGGCTGCAGACGCTCTGGCTTGAAGCATGTTTGAATGCATGCATCTCCGGGACTGAAGACATTGCAAGGCTGTGCCAAGTTTAGAGTACTATGGGGATCGAAGTGGCGAATATGCACAAACTTGATTCTCTATGAACCCACATTTTCCCGCGTGATCTCATCTGCCTTCGCTGAGAAAGAAGACCTGAAATGTCGTTGAAGCTCATAAACGACAAATATGCGGAAGCTGTCGGGGTAATACACATGCCGCCTGTGGCAGAAGCTGCCAGCTCCCGTCCCAGATATAGAGCACTCTCTCGCGGTCGTGCGTGGTCCACTGCGCTTAGCGCAGCCTCAACTGCGAAGTGGTCAGCCAGATCAAGCACGAAAGCAACGAAAAGCCCATTTTGCCAAGAAACGTGCAAGGTCACGCAATTCTGGTGCACCGCGCGATTCCTTTCAGTATGCGAAAGCAGGCAGCACCCGACAACAAAGCCCGGGGGTGACTATGCATATGGGTTCACCTGACACAGGCAGGTCCACCGTTTCCCCACCAGGCTAGTCACGTCTTGATTGATTAATTACGTCAACAGAAGGATCTTGAGAGGAGCTGCGATGGTTTATGAACCCTGGACCCGCGTTTATGTGAAGGCCGGCCCAATTGGCTCCAAACAGAGGCAGACCTGCTTTCAGATGGACCGCTGGGAGGAGTGGGGAAGATCTCAGCGTCAACACAGCCGGTCGTAGCAGACTGCGAGCAAAATTGAGGATTCATGCTCATTGTGAAGCAAGCTCTGTCTGGCTGAACTCCAAGAGAAGTCATTGTGCATGCCCAGATGGAGTTGCATATGCTCAGATGACGCGAATCAGAAACACCGGTCGAGTGTCATGCCTCCAGCCGAACGTTCGTAAATTACTCGCGCCCTGTCCTTCGGAGAGTTGTGCGTTCTACAGGTCGCTTACTGGCAGACGCTGCCAGAATGTTCATACGGGCACCCAACAATTCCACAGCAAATAACATTCTTCGTTTGCTTCTTCTGACACACAGTGCCCTGTTGCAAATGCTCGCGCACACGAGCAAGACACGCGTGCTCTCCCGCTCCATTGATCGGCACGATCCGGTTTCTCTGCAGCTGTTGCTAGATCTCTTCCACTTCGTGGTATGGGTCGCTTTCTTCTGCCATACGGCTGATGACATCTAGCTCTTGCATCGGGGCCCTGCGTTTGGCGAGCGAGCTTGGTGTTTAAGCCGAGGCTCTGCATGAAGGCCATCAAAGTGAGAACGGTCTGCCAGCATGTGGAGGCTTGGCACGCATGCATAGCTGCCGTACCTTGGGGCGACCACCACTGCACAATTCTTCAGCATCGGTGACAGAGAATATCTTGACATGCGCTGTGGGACAAATGAGAACATTCGGCGCAATGCCCTGCGCGATGGTGTGTGAAATTGATGTAGTGAGCTGCAGCGCGTTGGCCCAGCCTTGGATCATGAAAGCACGCACCGAAAGCAATCTCCAGCTCGCTCACTCGAGCTGAAACTGTTCTCCGAGCTCCGGACGGCCTGCAAGATCTGTTGCACTTACAGCGGCGCCGAAAGAGATGACGTCCGGCGCCCATCTTTTGGAAGACATGCTGGCCTCGCATGGACAAATGAAACCAAGGTAGCTTTAGTGGGTGAGCCAGGTCTGTTTAGCGGATCAAGATTTGACGAAACTCGACATCAAACCATTGGAAAGTGGATCATGTTTGAGCAAATGGTTGCGCCACCACCCTGAAGCAGCCCTAAACAATCCTGAACCCTTCCTCCAAAATCCAAGCCCCCGCCCTTGCCGTCGCTAACCCAGAATCTACAATTCGGCACCGAAACATGAGATCCGCACATACCGTGCACCAAGAATTCGGTAAGCCGTAAGCCGCAAGCCCCAAATCGCACGCAGACACCCTGCACTCAACGATGCCTGGAACACACCCCCCTGCACAAACCCTGCACGCCAACACCAAGCCAAGCCAAGCCAAAATGATCCAAACCCAAACTGTTTTGTCTTAGAGAAAACAGTGTTGCGCTCAGTTTTGAATTAGGTGGCCCTCCATGATATGCGCTGGCCGGACCTTTGGCGTGCCCTGGCCCTTTGTGCTTCGGATGAGTTGTTTCTGTGTGTGTTTTCGTCTCTCTCTGCTAACGGACGGTTACAATTCAGTAGAGGATAGCCAAAGGCCTCACAGGCCTTTTTCGCAGGCCTCAGGCTTGGTTGTGGGGGGAGCTGCCGCTACTGCTGCTGCAACTCTGCAACTACTGTACTACGACTCTTCTTCTACTGTGGTATTGCTAGACGACTCCTCTACTGTACCAGCTGCTGTATTTAATGCTGGTATTACTCTCCCAGTCTACCACTACTGTACTGCTGTAGTGGTACTACTCATCACCACACCCTTGGCAGCCTTGGGACGCACCCCCACACCCCTCTTTAGAGCTTGTCTCCCTCTACAGCCCCGAAACACCCCCCATTGGCCAGGGCGGTGGAGTAAACTATGCAAGGCGCCGGAAAATGTTTGGCAGGAAAGCCCTATCTGGGGTAGAAAACCCCGTCTTAGAGTAAACACCCTCCAACTCCCAAAAATCAAACAACGTCAGCCCGAGACCAACACCATTTATACTCAGCGTAGGAGCTCTGACCCTTGTATACGGTGGCGGTACAGTCGGATGCTTTGTGGTGCTTTCCAGGGAGCGCAACCTGATCATTCGCGCCTTTATCGAAGAGGATTGGTGGCTTGTGTCGAGGGTGGGAAGCATTTTTTTGGATCCATGCACCGATTTCGATGCAGGTCCCCTACAGGTTGATGCGTATATACATATTATGTATACATAAATAAGAACATATACACATACATATACGCAAATACACACAGAGAGAGGGAAGCGGAAAGAGCGAACATGTATGTGTATGCTTTTCATACATACATACGTACATACCTACCTAATTACATACATACATACATACATACATACATGTGCACATACGCACATACATAGGTCCACACATTCATACATGCATATATGCATACATGCATCCATCCATCCATACATAGATAGTTGGTAGAATATTGTGCCGTTTGGCCATGTCACGCTTTTATACTCCTTCGTATATGGTGCCGTTGATGTCTCAGGCACGACCGATACGAAGCAAAATCTGAGCTAGATTTGGAAGGGCAGCGCAACATGCAAGAGTCCGGCCAAGTTGCAAACAGCCAGCATGCCCAATTCCAGGATCCGCTCTTCTCCTGCAAAGCACGGCCCCTACAGTGTAAAGGCCTGAGAAGCTACAGTCTAAGAGGCTAGATCCTAAACCCTAAAACTGTAAACCCAAAAGCCCCACACTCTAAACCCTATTCTGGGCGTTGCTAGGCAACCAGCGCCGTTCAATACTCAGGATGCCAGATGCAGCACACAACAAAGTCTCTAGGTATTCCAGCGACTCGAAACCAAATGCAAAATACAGCACTCCTAAAGCCCAAAAACTCCCAACCTCAAAACCCTTGATTGCGTCCGGGCTTGGGAAGTTGGATAGGGGACTATACTTCCTTAAATATAGGCCTCATTCGGTCCTTATTACAGGCATTAAGGCCTCCTACCCCCTTCCCCCCTACCCCGCCCGTGTTGGGCATCCTGGGCACTGATCGCCGAGTTGTAGCCGATGAGATCTTGCTGGCAGGTGCTCCGCTGCACCGCCCCCCTTTGCCGAACACTGCCGAAGGACAGTCTAGACATGGGTGTACCTTATGAATGATGATTTCCTACTGGTTGTCTCTATTCCAACCGACCTACGAAGCTTTGTGTCTCAAGTTGTGTATGTCGCGGACGGATACGAATAACGAAACATAGTAGTAAGAAAAAGCAACAGGACAACATGACATAGCCTAAACAATTCATGACATGACGCGATATAAGATAACACAATGCAACACAACACAGCACAGTGCAGTGTCGTGATTTGACTTGACATGACGTGCCTAATGTGACCTGGCACGACATAGCATACCATAACATAGCAACGTCACATTGCATAACAGAACATAACAGACAATAACAGCACCTGTCAAAACCTATCCCCGCAGAACCAAACCATAACACACCCACATACGCACACGCCACATGCCCGCACACGCACACACACACACACACAAACACACACACACGCGCGCACACACACACACACAGACACGCGCGCGCGCACACACAGAGGCAAACACCCAGACTTTTGCAGTTACTGGTAACGTGTACAAATTCCAAAACAAGACCAGGGCGCAGCATCTGCAGGGCCCAGTCCCAGCGCTGAGACCGCTCGCAACTAAAAATGAAGGAATTCAACGAAACCAAGGTGGCGCGGATGCGCCGGTGCTGCAGTAAAACCTCGGCAGGTCGTTTGGAGAAGAAGACATACATCCGCAAGGCTCGCAGCATGGATATGCCGATCCCGATGCAGATGCCGCGGGCCGGCTGACAAAAGTGCACTGCACACCTGCAGCCAGCGGGCAAGAATGCCCATGGACATTTTCCAACGTTGAACTTTCTCGCCTTGCGTCTGAGTCCAGGCAAAATGTGTTGCGGCTCAAAGTCATGTCAGCCCACGGAGATGCTAAGAGCCGCACATGCAGCCAGAAGAGCGTTGTGAGAGATAGTCGTCGGCTGGATTCGCAACGTCGGGGCTCCAAACAGCACTGATGATGCCCTGAAGGGTCGGGATTGCCGAAATGGCTCTGGTTGCTCGACTCATGAATGCAAGCACACTAATCCAGAAACCATGTACAGCCCTGTACATTCACTGGGGGTCCTCTCCCAGCATGAAGCACGTTCGCAAGCGCTGAGGGCGGCGTTGCAGGCAACCACAGAAGCAGCTCCATGTTGCCTGCAAAGAAGCGCCGTCGCCCACTGGTGGCTGCATGCACCTGACACGAGACCCTCTTGCAACAAAAACAGATCGTCAGGCTCAGCAGCGGATAGGCAACAACAAAACAACGAGTATGGAAGAATGAAGGCCGAATCACTGATTACTGCGCACAGAGACACAATGTCAGATCTGATGCCGCTAATCCGCATCTGGATCCATGTCCAAAGTGCTTGCTGCCAGATTCCAGATTTTTCGGTAGCAGTGATCGCTGAGCTGATCGTGATCAAGTGCTGCCGGACGCCACGTCGTGCAGCCTGCATGCTCGTGCAATCCTGCTTTTGAACTGCGCAGGCCGCCCCCCCCCGTACATGCTGGTTGGCCAGCCGACCAAGCCTGCTGCAGCAGCGACAGGCTCCCAACCCAGCGACCAGCACGTCGCAGCGCATTGGCCATGCCACTCCGAGAGAAAGGGTCCAGCTCAGCCTGTGCTTGCACCGCTGACTCAATCGCAGGCAAGCAATGCCACGGCTCGATTAACAACGCCCGGGGACGCCGGCAGTTCGTGCCAGTTCGAGAATCGAGAAGACTCCCTCCCAATGACATTGTCTTTCTGACGCGCTTGCCATGCTGTTGAAAGACACGATGCCCTGGGTTTGCATGCAGGGTGAGAACTCGCCTACCTCTCTAACCTGGGCACGAACAGGTCAAAGAGTGCCAAGCATGGGTACAAGCCGTAAGTATCGGCTCGGTGTCTGGTTTCAGTAGAGTCGGCGACTCGAGCAGCGACAGTGCCACAGGCCAGGTAGAAGTTGGACCTAAGATCCAGGCCAGCGGGTGGCTGAATGCTACACGGAAATCTGTCTCTGTGCTGCCGTCGCACTTTCGATCCCCAAGGCATTGAGGGCGATGTTGCTCTGGACCAGACTGGCTTCGAGCCTCTGCAACCTCACCTTGCAGGAAGCTTGTGTTCATGGATCGCGAACGCGAACAGTCCGTCGGGAAGACTGCATCTTGAAACACCTAAGACCTAAGTGTCCCTGTGGGTCTTGAACTTGCTGCCTTCTTGCGCCCTCCTACGAGCTCGCGGGGGCCTCGTAGAGCAATGCCAAACATGCTGTCCATTCCCGCGCTGTGCTGCAACTCTGCAGCAGGCCATGATGGCCAACTCCCGACCAGCTGGCCTCAGATTCCGTGAAACCGAATACGTTCAACGGACACCAAGCCTGGGAAACGGCTCGTCATTACTCAGGGGTAATCTTACAGAGGACAGATGCGGAGCCCTGTAGGGTTTTTGCCACCCACATAAAGCCAACACGTACTGTAGCCACTCCACGGGGGGATAACTCGGATTCCTGCCACAAGAGAGCTGAGACGAGAAAGCCAGCAACTCAAAGAAACCAAAGCGCACCATGCCTACTGAGAATGTATGTCGATGTAAGCGCTCCTTCTGCTTCCTTGTCATACAAGTAAACAGCTGGAAGAGATAGAAACGGGACCCGAGTGCATGACTGACTTCTGCAGTGCGGCTGCCACCCTCCAAGGAGAGCCCGAGATGGATGCCTTTTCTTGCCTGAGGACACGATACGCCACGTCTTGCTGTCTTGCTCTTGTGATGAAGATGGAAGAGGCCAAGACGAACTCGTAAGTAGAAAAACGACGCGGTGCCGTGTTCTTAAACTGCGCCTTGCTTCCCACGAAAGAGTTGAAGGGTGCGTGGGGCATGAATTCAACAGGCAGTCTCACTCGCGCCCACAACGCAGCTGTTCTGTTGCTGCGACGAGACACCCTTCGAAGTGTCCAGCACTTGCGGCACACAGCAGTGCGAGAACCGCGGGCCACGAGCATCGCTGCGGCGCTCTCGCCGTATCCTGCAGACCAGGACATGCAACGGGCTTGGAACGGGTCTGCACAGAACCCGCACAGGACTGCAAGCTGCATATAGCTGCATGTTGTCCACCTTGGCTGGAGCCTTCAGAGGCTCCACCCGGGCAGCTCCGCGACTTGCCATGAACGTCCATGCTAGCAGGAAGCTCGCTCAGCAAGAAGATCTCTGTCTCCGTTCCATGGAAAAACACAGTTGCAAGCCTGGGGGACAAATCTTCGGGACTTGCAGCTATCAGGTTTGCTCAAGACGGGCCGACACATCCTTGAAATGCTTCGGCTGCTGTCGACGCAGAGCCAAGCAGGCGAGATACTTCTGCAAAAAGAACTGTCCAGTCGCCCTGTCGTCACGTTTTTCTGGGGCCGATGCCCAATTATTTCCGTATGCTTGGACTGGTCTCTGCCTCTGTCAGATGCGAACTCTCAAGACTCTGCAAGAGGACGGGCCCGCGGCAAGACGCTGGAGAGAGCCGCCATCTCAGAACCTTACTTGCCATGGCTGCGACGCCAAAGCTGCAATAGGCGCATGCACCGTGCACGAGTAATTCCGCGAGAGCGGCTGCCGGCCCAGTTGCCCTCACGGCCCGTGGTCTGCAAGTACCTGTGGACCACGGTGGACGACATCACAACGTTGCCACTGACATTGTCCAACTGGCCCGCTTATGGCGGTCACTCGTCTGCATGCAGCAGGACATAGTCACAGATCTGGTCGAGTGAGAAGGTCGAGACAACTTCTCGGACCTGGCATGCGGCACTTGCTTTTCCCGAACGCGTGCATATGGCCCTGAGTCGACGACACGCGTATAAAGTGCCTGGCACGGGGAGATAAGTGCATGTCATGGCAGCTGTGCAGCAAGCAGACTAGGCCTATGCGATCCTGAGAGCTTGGAGCGCTAGTTACGGTGAGCCCTGCACAACCCTAGCTCTACAGCTCGTGATGGGATTGAAGAACGGGGTACCGGGCCACACATGATGTGCAGCTAGCAACTGGACTGTGGCTTGCACAGAGAGTGGCAAGATCCAACGGAGCCAACATCGATGGACCCAGCCTCGCGATTCCACCTCGATGTGCAAAGGCATCTGCTCACTGCTTCTTCCTATGTACAAAAGGATTCTTCAGAATACCTGTGGTTCCGACCCCGGTATGTCCGCTGCAAGCTCGGTCTTGTTGCTTGAGATGAACTCCTCTGCCATGTCCTCGTGGTCATCTTCTCTGAAGAAAATGCTTCAATGGCTCGTCATCGTTTGCAAAATCTGGCCCTGAGCCTCCGGCCGTGAACAGCTCCCTGGTCCGCCACTCCACATCCGCGGACAGTGGCTCGCCACGTGCACGCGCAGCCGCCAACTGCGACAGCGCTGGCTACTGAGCGGCTACTGGGAAGGCGCACACCAGGAGCTAGTTGATTCGAAGCACTGCATTACATCGGCGGGATTCAAAAAATGCCAGAAATCAGCGCACATAGGAGTTGCCTCTGCAATGAATTCGCTCTCATCCAGAATGGCCTGGCTGCTTGCACGGGCGCGACTTGAAACGTCTGTGATTCAACTTGAGAAACATCTCAGACAGAGCATTGGTCCGTATTCGGTAGAAAAGGAGGCAGCGGCGGGCGGATGTTCTGCCTGTTTCTTGGCTATAGCTGCAGTACTCGTAGCGGCGCTGGTGTTTCCAGATAGTGTTCTTGTTATCGCGACTACGATGCTGAATTCCATGTTCGATGACTTCATTAGTACGCCTATGCTTGCGATCGTCATGCCTGTTGATGCTTGTCCTTCGGTTTCTTGTCGTTGCTTTGCTGTCATGGACTTTGTCCTGCAGGTCACAACCAAACTTCAGCAGAGACGCCATCCGACGGAGCAGCGAAGCTCTTTCTCGAGGGCCCATGTCCTGTCAGGCTTGGCGTCGCTTGGCCTTCGTGAGCTCTCAGGCTCTCAGAACCACAGGAAGATACTCCGGTACTCCTCCCATCGGTCCACTAGGTTGTCACCCAACGCTGCTTCCTTGGGCGGTCGGAGCACTCGGCAGTCTGTGACAAGCAAGGGCAAGCTGAGGGCAGTTCCCATGTAGCAGACCTCAAGTTCAGAAGCGTTCTGTCAGAGTCAACTGCCATCGTTTCACACTAGGTCTGACCTAGACGCGACGTCCTTCACATCCTCGGCTCGCACTTGTAGAGCCATGGAGAGGAAGAGGCAGTTGCCTCCAGCACCTCAGGCAAGCAAGCAGTACTTGCCGGCTCGTCTGGCAGAAACCCGGCTGTATTTTCGAACCTACAGCAGGGAACGAACGAAATCGTTGCTGAGAACCGAATGAATAGATGGGTCTAGCGACCCATGTCACGCGGACTCCACCCATAGCACCGCTCCAAGTTGCTGAGGATCTCCTGCACTGGTGATACGACTAGGCGTTGGGCGTGACGCAAGCTGGCGAGCCGATCGAGGACGAACCGCAGCACACAGAAGTTCTCCAAGCTCAAACCAACCCCCTCGATGGGCCGAAAAGGTTGCCACGCCGCGTCACAGCGAAGGCTTGTCATGGTTTAGGTTCGGAAATATTTGGGTGTTGTAGTTCTAGATTGGCGGCTTCCCAGCACGAGAGAGAGTGCGTTCCAATTCGACATGGAAGCACGCCTCAGCCCTTCCGTGTACGAAGTTTCTAACTTCCCCAAGGAATGGGAGCAGTCCCTGTCGTTCATGACCTTCGTTTGACCGCCGTTCTCTGCGACCTGCAACGGTGAGACAGTGCTTCTCAAAAGTCCATGGGTGCACTTTGTTGCACCCCCTTCAAGAGTGCCTACACATCGTCTGCTCAGCCAACAGACATCCCGCCCCGCCTGCACGGCACGCAAATGGACCTCAGAAAGCTCCGAGACACGCCTTTTCACTGCCTTTGACATGTTTGCCATCGCCTCTTCCTCAGCCTGCCTGCAAATCCTAGCCTAGCTGACAACTGGATCTGGTACGCACTTTCATCTCCAAGAAAGCTTGAACAACACTCATCCAAGCGATTCGATCTCCAAGGGTTCGACAGATCGGTGCCGCAAATCGGCTCGCGCCTAGAAGATCCAACGTCGTTTGGACGAGGCTCCCGGGTATCATCCAAGGTCCGTGCTCGACGGCAGGCTCCTGCTGGATCCATTAAGAAGAAGAGCGTGGTTTTAAACATCAAGGCACTCTGGACGCTGGCATGTCTATGCCCTTGACTAACTTCCGCACAACTCGATCACATGCAAGGTGCAGACCACCTCCGATCAGAAGGCTGGCGGTGACAACCGGCGGTCCCAAGGCGACGTCCCACGTGAAGTGTCCCTGGGCCTCGATACCACGTAGTCTTTTCTCGGGTAGCACAGTCATGGAACACACTGTTATCAGTGCGGCATACCCTATCATACCTGCACGTGCACGGAGCTTCCACGCCACGCAGGCACAGGAAACGCAGACCTTGCAGCCGTATCACAAGCCCGGTGGTCAAGCAAGTTGTGGAGAAACAAGCTCTGCACAGCACAGCTTGTCCATCTAGGTAGCCGGGCGGTCGGGCTGGTGCAAAGTTTTGCAAGGAGACCTGACTGCTCCGGTCAGCTGGAAGCTGCAGAGAGAAGCTACACACTCAGTCCGGCACGCAACCAGGAAGCAAATGCATAAGGAAAGCTGGCAGCTGGCTCTGAAAGCTTAAAGGTGAGGGTTGGTCTGTTACATTGGACGGGGGATGTTTCAATTTATGACTCAGGCTCCGGGAATTGGCGAAATGGAGGAGATCGTGCATGTGACTGTCTCAGCTTTCTTGTTGTGCAACATGGTCCAAGTTCCTGCTGCCCGTCATGTCCGTGATGTCATCCTAAGGCATGTGCATAGCGGCCTCGGCCCGTTCACTGTTCAACCGCAGAATCACCAGCAGCAACCCCCGCGCAAGGTGACCAAGAAGGGTTAGCAGTGCAATGTGCACAGCAGTCCATGACGGGTTCTTGTACGATGGCTTTTGGGAAAGCTCGCATGCATGCTGTACATTGGTACTGGTCAGGGTGACTGCTCACCTCCTTCTTCTTCCTGCGTAGTCGCGAGCAGGGCACATAGGGAAGGACCGTTGAATACACTTGACAGCAACATCTGCCTCATCTGAGGACTCGTAGCCACCAAGCAGGGATCCACCAGCCGGTGAGGAGGTTGGTGATGACGCTGCCCTGGGACGCTCAGAGCATTCACAACCAAGCACCGGCACTTGCAACATGTTGTGGCCCGTACGCAGTGAGTGTCGCAGGCGCAGGCTCGGAACCTACTTCGGGCCCAAGAAGAGGCGAGGAAAGATATCAGAAGATGCAAGCTCCAGCAACAAGTGTGCCAAACTTTTCTCTCGGCAAAGCACTGGCTCTTGCTCTGCCGAAGAACTGACCATGGCGTTTTGTGGGGAGGCAGGTTGCGTCAGGACTCCAAGGACACGCAGCAGCGCATGGCGCTTGGAGTTCGTCAAAGTTGTGACGAGAACATTGCCGGAGGTCAGACGACCCGGAACACCTGACACCGACAGATTCAACTTCACCGTTCCTGCTCCGGGCTTCGCAGCATCGAAGTGTAGCTAGGTCACTGATCTGCTGGCACTGAACGCGTTCATCCGGTACAGTGTCCTTGAGCAAAGGAAGTTTGAACAACGATGACCCTAAAAGACTTAATTGACTTAATCGACTGCATCACCTGAGAGATCCGCAGGCCCCCTATTACCGCCTCATGCGGAGCTTGAGGATGAGCTGACTATCACTCAATAACATAAGCACAGGAGCAGAGAAATCTTGTCAGATGCATGGAACGCTACAGTACCACTTCTATCGAGGCACCGTGTCCAGAACCAGCAGGAGGATTCCAGTTGCACTCGTTTCGAGCTGAGGGGTCACAGATCCACCCTGAAGCAGGGTCAAAAAGGCCGGCCACGGAAGCCTTTCGAGCTGCCGGGTAGCCTTAGTGTCGAGAACCCCGTGAGAAGGTGTCACTGGGGCTCAAGGAAGATGTGCGCTTGCAAGCATGTCAGGGCATGGGTCATGCACGTGTGTGGGCTAAACCTCTTGGCTGCAGCCTTGCCGCACAGTCGGCCAAAACCTTAGCTTTTCGCGAGACTGCTCCTCCCCCTTTTGACTTCGTGATGTGGATGAGCCAAGAACACGGGCATGGCTCGGCGCGAACGCTCACCGGGGAGCAGGCATTGCAGGCACTGTCCGCCAGGTCCACTCGTTCGTTCCTTAGTGAGTCTAGACAGCGCACCTTGACCGGATATGTGTGTGTGTGTGTGTGAGATGTTCTTGATTCTTTTGCCGAGATGTTCTTGATGAACATGCAAATTTCACAGCAAACGCCAAATGCAAGCTAAAGAGGCGCATCTTGCCCCGTCATGGATGTCTCTGATGCAGCTAGCAAGGGTATCCCAGCAGCAAGGATGCGAGGCCGTGCATGCTTGAGAACTAGTCGGCCTGAGCTGCCGTCTCTACAACCACAGGTAAACCCTTTCGTGTTCACCCGATGGCATGCGCAATCCCGCTGGGCGCTGAGCACAGCGATGCACTTCCCAGAACCAGTCCGTCCTTGCATCTTCAACCCAGGTCTCCGGGCTTGGAACATGCGACCCCCTGTTTGGGAAAAGTAGTACTCGGTACAAACTTCTACTCTCAGCCAGGATGCTTGCAAGCTCGGGTCTGTGCGAACAAGCTCTGCAGGAAAGCGAGACACTCCTCGAGCTTCTGCCTCAGGCTCGTGTACCCGGCAAGACTACTCACATCTGCATCCGGCCTCCAGGCCTGAAAAGCGTCCGACACCAGCCCAAACCAGTCCATGAACCATGAGAGTCTGCTCGATGTTGCCATGGCCAGAAGTGGTGGAATCGGATTTGGTGTTGCATCTGACTCCGAGCGCTTGCCATGCTTGGTGCTGCGTGGCTCCGCCGGTTGTTCCCCGTCGGCCCTAGGCTGCGCGCAAGAGGTGTGCCGTGTGGCTGGACCGGCCGCCACCTTCTCGAACAATGCACAAAAGAATCCTCCGAAATCTCCATGGGTTGGATGGATCCGGACACACAAGCTCAAGGCACGTCGCACCTGCCCGCATGCGCTTGTCATGCAACGACACATGGACGACCTCAAGCTGCCCTACATTCTTGCAAATCACGTGCCTCCGGATCAGCCGGCGGAAACATTGTGGAAGCCAGGCCTCCGCCATTTCGGCACCAGAGCTCCGGCTCCACCTCCTCTGGGCGGCTGTAGCTGCGGTAGGACTCGTTGAAGTCAGGCGCAGGGACTCTCCACTCTGTCATGCCCGCCGCATGGCTCCAGGTCTCCAGTGGAAGCAGACGAACTTGCCCGGCGCCCAGCCTTTCCGCCACCGAAAGCTCTGAAACTTGACCAAAACTATGGCAACCCAGCATGAAGCATAAAAATTGGCGAGCCACTTCTCCAGAGCAGCTGCCACAACTGCCTCGTTCTCCACCGGGGACATGCTGCACGTCGAGTAGAGCAGTCGCCCCTGCGGCTTCAAAACTGTGAGTCCACGCTTCAGGATGGCGCTCTGCACCTGAACCAAGACGTGAGACTTGAGCCCGGCATTTTGCCGTCTCGATCTCACTCTCAGACTCCCTCTCTCACAAGTTGCGAGCATTCCTCAAGAGTGCATGAGAAGCAAATCAAAGCAGGCGGAGCCACATAGTGCATTTGAAGCATGTAGCGAGCATGCCAGCGTGGCCAGCTGCCAGGGGCGCGGCGCAAGCGGCCGTCACCTTCTCAGGCACAGAGTCAGACACGCGACACATGCACTGAAAACCGAGACAGTTCCGTCATGCTTGCCATCTGTCCTGCTACCACGCCTGAACAAGGAACGTCACACAAGACTCGGTCGAAGCGGATCTTTCGCGCTCCCCGTACCCGCCCGTCTGAATGATCATGCAGCGTTGGGAACTCGGCCAGCATCATAAGGAAATCACTTATTGGCCAAAATAATGCACTTGTGGTTGACTCGGCTTCGCACTACTTACAATGGTTTACCATGCATCAGACCGCGACCTAGCCACGTCGCGTGCATCTCCACACAGCCACAACAATGGTGCCGAGTTGGGGTGCTGCTGTACGCGACGGACAGCCGTGGTACAGCGCGCCCAGTTATCGTCGTTAGCAACGAGAAGACCACAAGGCACGCCACCTTGCACCAGGCGGCATCAGTCGCAGCTTTCATTGGAGCAAAGCGATGAGCGAGTGAATTTCATCTTTGCAAGCCTGGGGAGCGGCCCATGTGCATCAAGTCGAGAAGTTGCAGTGTTTTAGAGCCAGGTGCGGCACAAAGATCGGCCACAACGTGGTGTTGCTCGACCTACACACCAGCGCTTCACACTTCACATCGTTGCATGTGCTTTCAAGCCCTACAGAAAGAAAACGATGGGCACCAGATGGCACCAGAATATCCCTGACAGGAATCAGAAAGAAAAAAGAGGCTTGAAACGCTCAGGCGCTTGCAGGAGCAAAACAGGAAGCATGCTGGCAGCTTCTTGTCTAGCAAGTGTACCCGCATCCTGGCATGCTTCCAGAAAGTTCCAGCAGGTCTTTCCAGGGCCTTCAAGCGCGAAGCCGTCGAGTCCTTCTGCCTCCGTCAGCCCCAAAGCCCTAACGAGGCGAGCCTCGCTTTGCAAGCGGTGGAGGCAGAGCCGCGCAAGCGGCGATTTGGGGTTCGCGAGCCGCACGCAGTAGGGCAGAGTGGTCTGCATGAGCTTCTTAACCTGCGCGAAGTCGGGCAAGTCCTTGTAGTACATGTCCCAGGCTTCGGAGCCATTCCGTGTTATGGAATCCGGATGTACATCTAACGGCGCATCGTCCGGCTCAGCTTGGGCTGCTGGATCTTCGTCTGCATAATGGCCAGCACTGAAGACGTGTCGCATGAGTTGGTTTCTGGAGGCAAACTCTTGGCCACATCGCTGACAAGTGCGATCCGCGACGTCTGCAGTCGAAATCTGGTCGGAGTTCTGGCAAACTTGAAGCGATAGCTCGCCACCACGGTCACAACCAGCAGCACGCCAGGCCTTTTTTGTCGGCATCACGGATTTTGCGGGTATGAACACTGAAGACTTTCCAAGATATTCTGTTTAATTTGAGAACCCGAAGTAAGCAGCTCAGATGCTTTGGATAAAGCGGCATCATCACAAATGTGAGACTCACCAGTCTTGTGACGCCACAAAAGCCGGATGCTCAAGGTGCCTTGGCATCTCGTCCACATAAGCAGGTCCAGCTATGGTCAGAGCGACGACTCAACCACTGCCTTACTCCAAGCCACTGCTGAAGCATCCCTCCGTAAGCTTCGGGAAGCCAGCAGCTACCTGCGACTGAAGATCTGCCAATACGGGCGAGCAGAGCTTGAAACGCTTCGGCATATCCAGGTAGTAGACACATACCGTGCCGACCGTGCACTCCGTGCTAACCACCTGGCACAGCACAGCCGAGCCAACGATCTTAATTTCATACTGTTCAGTGGCATGGCCGACTGTTCTGACGTTGCCGTCCCCTGGTTGGCCTCATCGCTGCGATAGCCGCTTGAAAGCTGCAGTTCCATTGACTGGGCTTACAACGAAGGCGGCAGGAAAACGGCGCAAGAGGTCTGCGCAACTGGCTTCTGTGGGCGCTGGTTGCATGCGGCATGGCAAGCAGAGCGTGTTGCGACCGAGTTGCCTAGAAGTCTCTGCTACATCTATGAACACTTTCAGGGAAAACTGTATGGACGGACGAAAACCGGTTCTGGTGGACGCTCGAGCTCTTACGAAGCAGGTCTGAGCTTGCTTGCGAGAACCGACTTCCATGCTTCATTGAAGGCAGCGGCAATCGAAGCACTTGAAGAGGCCGAAAACTTGTACAGTCTGCGAGCACGGGCGCCTTCTACTCGTGCTCGCTTGCTATCGGGCTCCTGAGAGGCTGCTGCCGGGAACCCTCCCACGAGTTTCAACATTAGCTGCAAGAAGTGACCTGGCAAGCGCCTTTCAAGAAAATGCGATATCCTTCTTCTCGTCGAACACATCTTCTTTGCTCTTTACTTTGACAAAGCTTGGCATCCGCTTCTTGGCCTGCACTTTCTCGGGTCAGCACGTGAGATCGTAGGAACGCAGCACATGAAGCCACCTGGGGGGCAACTTGCGGGCCGACCTCGGGCCCTGAGATCGTCTGCGCGACCTTCAAAGCCATCTCCACATCTCATGGCTGGGATTCAGGCTTTCAAGGGCCCCCGTCCCTGTTCGGAGATTTCGGGTCTGCGGGCTTCATCGCAGCAAGCACTGCGGTCGTCGCAGTACTGCTCCATGCTTTACAGACACGGGATTATTCAGCATGCCAGATGGCCAAAACCGTACATGTACATGCCAGCCAGCAAGCCGAAGATTGTCAACAATTCCATAGCGCACGCCTGCAGAAACAGACAAGCGAAAGCGCACCCCTTCAGAAACAGACAAGCGAAATGAGAAGAGAACGCACATTCTCAAGCAGGGCAGGGTGCAATCACAAAAAACTGACACAGAGAAGTGCACTGAAAAGAATGAAAAACGTTCTGCTGATGTCGGGTCCAAATCCACCTATGGTTGCCTGAGGACCTTGCACCGGAGTGTGTTCGGCTTTGTTTAGCTACGTCCAGCGCAAGCAAGACAGCTGCCATTCTCGCGGACACATACATTCATCAGAAGTGTTGCGGAACAGCCAAACAAAAGCATGGTGCATCTCTGAAACTGCAGCCAGACCTTGTCTGTCTTGGTCATCGCCTTGTCAATCCTTACAGTTTAATGACAACACTCAGGGTATTGCTGACAACACAACTGCAGCAGCAGCAGCAAATGTCCTGTGATCAGAAGCAGCTCTGCGAAACTCGCTCACTTCCTGTCGCCACTGGCATTGCGAAGCTAAACATGGCGAGGACATCATGCGACAGTTGCGACAGCGACAGCTGCTTCATGCTGCATCGGCACGAACCACGCACCGGTCCCAAAACTGTCATATGGCTGATGGAAACATGCCATGACCGCCGCTGCAGCATGAAGCTCCTCTGTGCTACTAGAGCCTGCTTGACTCTGTGCAGGAGGTCTCGTGATGTGACACCCGTGGAAACAGGACTCAAGCCGTCGATCTCTGCTCGTAACCAGCCTCTACCACTTTACCAGACAAGCGACAAGTACAGCTCAATAGCCATTGCTGGAGCCTGAAGTTCGTAGCTGGACTCGTTTGATCATTGGCGCTTGAAGAGACAGGGCTGTCGCAGCAATGGGTCGCTGGAGCTACAGTAATTCATTACGCTGACGGGGCGGGTTTCGTCGTTGAACATTGCAGTCGTGCATGCTTGCGATGATTCTCGACTCCTAGCCCCGTTCCGGCAAACCTATTGGAGAGGGACCCTCGGTCTGCTGCCGGTGCTCACAACGTCTTCCCCGTCCTGGTGCTTCTGGGCCTTCTCCAGCTGTCTTTCCTTCTCTTTCTGCGCCTGAGGACTCTCTGTGCTCTCGTGCATAGAGACCAAAAAATCTTCCCGTTTCCGCAAGCCCGTACTGTGAAGGCTTTGACCCTGGAAAGTTTCAGAAGGCCGTGCAAGCCGGCATAAGAAATAGTTCGGAACCTTTGCGACGGTCGGATGCCCTGTACAGGCAGCTACAGAGTTCCATCCGATGCCACCGCCATACGGGCACCTCTGGCGTGGCCGCTTTTGCGTCTTCGCTGTCTCTCCAGTTTATACTGCACCGTCCAATGGTGTAGGGCGATGGTCAGCACAATTCAACACTAGCCACCACATCGGCATCAGTGATACATGTCTTGCTTGGTGCTCTGCCTTTTGAACCGGAACGGACTCTTGCGGCGTGAAGGTTTGGAAGCCGAAGCTTTGCTGAGTCCTCGTTCCCCTCGTTTCAAATCTCAAAATCTCTGCAGCAAGCCCTCGTCGCTGCCGAGCACAAGCATGGAGTTGCCCTGGCTATCCGCAACTCAAGAGCCTGTCTGGCTTGGTTCGCGGCTTGATACCCAAGATCTGCTCCTGCTACGCCTGGGCCCATGTAGGCTCCTGGTTTCTGTGCTCTGGCACACACACCCACAAACGTATGCACGTGAAAGCACTACCGTTGTGAACATGCAGCGGGGTCCTCCGTCGAAAGACCGGACATCCTTGCCCAGAAGGCCTGGCTTACATCACAGTAGACACGAACTGTCCAGGTTGCATTCCAGGTTGCATTCAGAGCACATGTCTCGTCTGACTTGCTGCCAAGCATCGATCCATAAAAAGGTTTTGATTCTTGGAGCCTGCAAGCAAAACGGAACGCATAAAGCCGCTCAAAATCAGCAGCCAGATGCCAGTGACCTGAAGGAGTTCCCATCTTTGCGAAGACCTTGTACAGCAAATTGGTGCCAAGCTCGAAACATTCAACGGTAGATCATGTATCAGCTTATCTGTTTATTCTAGTCTGTGGCTTTAACAATGGATGCATGTTTTCGTGTGGGCTGAGTGTCAGCAGCTGCATCGGGTATAGACAGATGTGGTTGCTGCTCTCCGGCTGTTGAATTTGCGAGTCTTTGAACCAAAGAGCACGAATGAAGCTCACTCAAAGCTTCTGCCGGAGTCTGAGGGTGACTGCTGACACCTGCAAGCAAATACTACCCAACGCAATTGCAACGGCAAGCCTGAAAGACCACCTGAAGGCGCTTTACGCATGCAGAGGTTCCGCTTCTTCGGGCAAGAAGTCGGGATATTCCGCATGTCGCGGCGGACACCAGCCTCTACCGCAGTTTTGCATCATCTTCTGGGTCTTGTACTCCTGAAGCTGGGCTCTGGGCACAGCTTAGACGAACCCTCGCTTGTGCTAGGCACAGAAGGACAACGAGCCCCCGCCTTAAACACTCCATAGTCGCGGTCGTGGGTGTATGACAAGCAAACCCTATCGGGAGGCCCACTCTCTTGGCGATACCCCGAGGATTGGAGCTGCAGGTTGTATCGCGACCACTCGCGAGATCTCCGGTATTCAATGTTGCCTTGGCAGAGGCTCTTGGAATCACACAAAATGACTTTCTGGCAACTTGACGGTCAAAGAAAGAGGCCTTATCAGAACCTCGGGTTCCATCTGCTTGGCAAGGCTCGAGTCCAAACTATCAGATTGAGCCGCTCGCCTTCTGTGATGTCATCAGCACCGTGACGGCGATGGCCGCGATGCACAACGCAATGCCCAAGCTTGTGCTGGTACAAGAGGCTTGCATGTCGGTGATTAGCTGCACCCTGGTTGCCGCAAAACTGAAGCCCAGCACCTTTAAAATCCTTGCCAAGGCAGATGTTAAACGTCACGTCGCTGTCATCGGTATGCATGTCCAAGCCCAGATCTTCGCCGACCTTGTACCGCACGACAAAGGTGTGGTGCCGGTCAAAGTGGGACCCAACGCCAGGGAAAAGGTGATGCGCAACCAGCTGCAAGAAGCTGTGGACGAGCCTGCAAGAGTTCCGTGCTGCGGTGGATCGTAAGAAAAACAGCACGGTCACATGGAGGCAAAACTATGTTGTGGGGCCCGCGCCTGTCCAGGGCTGGCTCCATGCCAATCTCGTTCACCACAACTCCATAGTTGTTCATGCTGTTTGGGCGACGGGCAGGCAACCCGCTGGCATGAAAGCTGTCAAGCTCCTCAACGAAATCCTTGCAAAAACCTTCCGTGAAGATTGGAAATGAGTAAACCTCCGACGCCTCCTCGGTCAGTATAGAAGACCATGCATCCGCTGTGTTCAATGCATATGCTGTCCAGAATCTTGGGTTGAACATGTCCTTGGAGAAGGCCTCCTCCTCATTGAAAAGAAACTGATGACGACGAAGACTGCCATACTCAGATATCGTCTTCAAGCACTTAGCGTTCGCCTTCGCGGCATCCTCAACATCATCCATGTCAGCAATTTCGGACAACTGCTCAGGATGCCCCAACAGAAGCAGGACGGCTCGTATCGTGCGGCACAGTCTTGAAGCGTTGTCGTCCGACTTGTCTTCTTCCAGCTTCGAAAGAGCCTCAGCAAAGGCTGCCTCGTCCACGACCCCATCCTGCTTAACAAGCGCATGATGCAGCCAGCTCTGGACACGAACTTCTGGAGGCGTTAGCGGATAAGCGCTGTTCACCTTCACCTGAAGGCGAAGCCTCCTTTCGTAGGCCGAGTCTGCCGGCCCTTGGATGACCACGCTCACAAGCCATGGTCCCGTGTCGCCTCTGGGGACGAAGAGCTCAGTTCCATCCTGCGAAGGGCACAGCTTGGCACGTCACAGCAGGCAGATGTCCATGGAACTGCCGCGGCGTGCCTGTTACTTATAAAGTCCAGATTACAAGCTTCTTCTTGCCTCTGCGACGCCCATGAGCTCCGGTTCTGAAACTCGGATTACCCCCGGCTCGTCGCGGAGCCTGGGAATCTCCTTGTGCAAGGCTTCCAGAGTTCCTGAGACGTGCTATGTAGCTTGCTTTATCGAGCATGCTGAATCTGGGCAAGGGCCCCGGCGCTCGGGGTTGCTGTCCTCCTGACAGGGTGCGAGGAGTAACAGGAACCAGTTTGGGTAGTAACGGAAACCAGTCCCGGAGACAGTAACGGAAACAGACCCGCTTAGAAACAGGAACCGCAACCCGAGCGCAAGAGAAGCTCCGGCCGGAAACCAAGGAACCTAAACTACGTTGGAGGTCTTGTCTGGGGGACCTATTTTCGGTCCCCTACTTTAATTTACGGCCAGTGAAGCCTTATGCTCACGCACGTTTTATTCACCTCCTCTAGAGTTTAGGGTTGAATAACATTCAGGCTTTGGAATGCTACGACTTCGCTTCCCCGAAGGTCTGCCCCGATTTGCTGACATGCGTTACGACTTCGGTAGTGCCCCGTAATAATCGCCGCCGCATCATCGCATCGTCGTGGTCGTCATGAGTCGTTGTCCTACGCAAAATACCAGAAAAGCCGGGCCCCCGTCAACGAGGATTGATTTGGCCCCTGCACTCTAGACTCACCCGAGAGGATTTGGCGGAGTGTGTTCAGCCACTGATAAGCATGGCTCCTTCACGCATAGGCACCGCTGAATCATCATGCCCGCCATAGCCCGTAAACACAGCCGCAAACCGCAAACAGTCATGGGAGCAGCACATCCCCTATGTAGACTCATTGGCCTTTGGCGACATTTCATCTTCTGCTCTAAAAGCTCAGTTGATACGTCATCTACGTCCACAGCTGCTCTCGTCGTGAAATTCCTGCTGGCTGGAACTGAATAATGTCTGAAAGGCATGCTGGAATCATAGGTCGGAAGTCCTGTAAGTAGGGGACCGGAAAACGGTCCCTGAGTTTCGACGACAGAAGGACATGCGGAACGTGAAAGCAAAACCCAGTGCCTGACCCCCGGTTCCTAATACAAGGCCTGTCCCCGAGGCTGTTAATGGGAACCGGGGGTTGCTGTTACAGAGTGGCCCCCCGTTCCTGACACAGGTTCCCGTTACGGCCATTACAAACACCACGAATCAGTTGATACCTGCCTGCTTCGAGCTTGCAAAATGCTCGTCTTGCAGGTACTTCCCTGCCTCCGGTATGGAGAATGTGCTAGGCAGCTCAGCTCGAATCACTCGTGGAAAATCAGCTGGAGCATAGATCAATGCACCACCGAAGGCAAGATCCAACTTGACCTCCAGAGCTCGATGCACACGAGCTTACTCGCGCTGTCTGCACTAGGACGGTGGTGGCATCACATCAAATTTCCCTCGCGGCCGAGGCTGATGCCTGATAAGGTGCGGTCTTCCCAAGTGGCCAATGATCCTGCGCAAACAACTATGCCACTTCTCTCCACCTACTCCAGAAAGTGCATTTTGGCTCTAGATCTTCAGGGATTGGTAGGCTTGGACGGGTGATTGGCGTTTCGACCTTTCATGGTTACGTGGGGAATGGTGGAGAATCGCGTGAACGCGACCTTCTCACAAGTCGTCGATGCGCTTCGCATCCCACATCCAATACTCCAACCAGAATGCTGTGAACTTTTTGTCTTGAATCAGCGGCAAAGCCCTTCAAGCCTCGCGGTATTGTGTAGCCACGATCTCGCCACTCGCCCAACCTTCGCGCCCCATGTTGCAGGAGACACGAGCACCCACGGCAAAGCGCAAGCTGCCACCATCGCTTGCCATGGCCATGGCCGGCTCTATCTGCTTTCGGAAAGTAGGGGGCTTCAGAAGACAGGGGAACCTGCTATAGAGTGACGCATATACTATTACTAGCATCCTTCTTGGAAGGGCCCCCCCAAATGAGGTACCCCTGTTTTTTTACGGCACATCCTTTCCAACAGGGTGGGCTGGAGGAAGAAGCGAATGTCATCTTACTCTCGTGTCGCATCCTTGACAAGCCACAACCCTGAAACGGGTTTTCGGGCCTGTTTAACTTTAAGTAATTGCAGTGGTAGCTATGCAGTTCAGGGTCGAATATTGGCACTCATTGAAGCATGATTCTCGGCTGATCTCGATCAAGGATTGGCTCTACAGATGCTCAACCAGCCATGCAAACACGCAAGCCGAGCGCGACAGACCCGATACAATCTAGGTCTGTGGGAAAAGCTTCGCGGCAAGCAGATCTTTCATCTTTGCAAACTCGTGAGAAAAATGTCCTAAAGCCTCAAGGCCACCCATCCTCATGCTACTCTTGCTCCATCTGCACCTCAAACTCAGTCGAGCTCGGAGGTGACAGTTGCGCTGATGACACTGGAGACGACGCTGAATGCTGCTAGCGCGCAAAGAACACCGACTCCCAGCACCTTGGCATGAATGAAAGCATGCAGGCCCAAATTGACACCTAATGCCTGCAAGGCCTACAAGTTCTCGTGAGGCCCCCGCAACTGAAGGCACGCCCTCTCCGTCTGCTGCTGATGCTGCCGCTGGGGTCAAGAGAATCGCAGGCACTGTGGCGCTTGCCGCCTCGATGGCAGTACCACGAAGCTGGCTTGGTGTCTCAGGAGCCGGAGCAGGAGCACCGACGAAGGCAAGGTTGCGCAAGGCGGTGCAAAAAGCCAGGACGACACAGACGGTTGCAAGCTTGGTTCGGGCCATCACGGCACTCTCACCAAAGACGAGGGAGCAACAATGCCGAGGCTCTTTCTTCCCTGCTGGCTGAGAGCCAAAACGGCGAAGGTACAGAATGCTGCAGAATTCAGAGCCGGTGCTCGACGCTCGCTGCCCAGCCAAGGAAGCCAAGTCCTGTTTTGTTCCTGGCAAAGGCACAACCATTCTGCACAACTTATGCACGGCAGATTTTAGCTCGTGCTGATGCGACTGCAAGTCGCAGTCGCAGTCAAATAGCCACATAAAGGCCAGCAACCGTCGGTTCAGATGCCCCCAAATTGCCCCGCACTGGGCCGTCTTCGGGCCGGGGGACTGCCCACAGATAGCCGCACATTCCTGGAACACCGGCCCCGGCTTGTCACACCTCCAGGAAGGCACAGGCACAGCTGAGCAAGAGCTTTGCGACAGAAGCTCCGAAAGTCCTTGTTGAGAAGCTCGACAAATCTCCCCTTGTCCCAAACGTCCGGCATTTCCTTTGCCTTCCCGAGACTTCGGTGGGTCGTTTTCACCAGACCGCAGCTGATCAGAGTTGCCGAGACCTCCGGCCTTCAACATCCCAATACGAGCGAGGCTTGCTTTGTCCAGGCTCGTGGGATCCTTCCGGCAGAATCCGCAGCCGTCCCGTTCGCGCTCCGACCCATCAGCAGAAAGTCTAATGGACGTTTCTGAGTGCTGCACTGCACCCTCCAAGGCTTTGTAGGCCAATTCGATTTCCTCGCCAAGCAAGAGCTCGGTTCAGTGGAGTGTAATGTACAACGCGACGACAACGAACTTACAAAATCGCGAAGGTCAGCTGCCGCTGAACCTCCTTGTTGGCCGCATTCTTGAGGATGTTTATCGGAGCATCCCATGCCTGAAGGATTCTACAGGTCTGGCCCAAAGCTCTCACCCCCTATACTTCTCACCAATCCCACCTCTGCACCTTCTTTGCTGCCACTGATGCCCAAGATCGCTTGACAACCGTCTGAATTTTCCACCTTGCAAACATCTATCAGCTTTAAGCGTTCTTGCGCAGTCCATTTTGTGTGAATCTCCCCCGCCTCCTTCTTGGCGCCCTTCTCCAGAAGCAGTTTGGAAATGAAATAGAAGTCATACCTCCCAGATCTGTGCAAGGCACGAAATTGCCTCTGAACAGCTCACGATTGAGGGACGTGCTCGACGCTCATGTGAAGAGGCGTCTGCCCCTTGAAATTTTGCGCCGTCACCTGGACGCTGAACTTTTCCCGTTGTCGGTTGCACCCTGCAAAGGAGGCTACTGAAAAGCACAGCGTCCACAGTCATTGACAGTTTGCACCGAACCAGAACCACAAGGTTAAGATCCACAGCGCTTTTTCGACACAATCGACTTTTTCAAACAAATAAAGACAAATAAACACAAAAAAGCAATATAACGACAAATTAAAACTTTGACAGGCAATTAAAGACAATGAAAACAAATAAAAGACATTTTTAAACGAATAACAACAATTAAAGTCTTTGAAAAACATAAAAAGACTTTTAAAAGCAAATAAAGACTTTTAAAGACACAGACATTCTTTCAAAAACAAATACAGACAAAAAAACAAACAGAGACTAAGAAATTGTGTTTTTGACACTTTCATTTTTCAAACTTTTTCCAGGAAGCCGGCAATGAAGAAGACCTGGCACAGGCCCTAGAGTTTCAGGGTTTTCGGCGCGCACACTCAGAAGAGCTTCAGGGTTTTGGGGTTCGGGGTTAGAAGGCAGAGTGCCATGGTATGCAGGATTTGAGGGTAATGAAAGGGTTAGGGCGGTTAGGATTTAGGGTTTAGAGTTTCAGGGTTTTAGGGTTGAGGGTTAGAAGGCAAAGTGCCATGGTATAGGGTTTCAGGGTAATGATTGACAGGCAGAGTGCCAAAAACATCAAAATGAAAGGTTTTCAGTTTTCGTAGTTATCTTGGAGTGATCGTGGCTTGGCTTCGGATTTTTGGTCGTGCCCAAGCCCCGCTAAACAGCTCCAGGTACTCCCACACCCTCGTACTGTACCCTATTGTACTACTACTGTACCACTACTGTAATACTACTGTACTACCACTTTACTACTACCCTCTTACTACTGTACTCCTGTTCTACTTTTGCACTGCTACTGTACCACTACGGTACTACTATTGTACTACTGTACTACTACTGTGCTACTACTGTGCTACTACTGTGCTATTGCTTGCACCTACTGTACGACACACCACTGCACCGCACCAGGCCTCAGACGTGGTTGGAGGCAAAAGTCTTCAGAGTGAAAGGTTTTCAATTTTTTCGTCGTCCCCAAACCTCGCTAAACAGCTCCAAGTACCCCTAAACCCTCGTACTGCACTGTAACTGCTACTGTACGATTGTGGTACTACAAAACTACTATTGTACTACTCTAAATTTGTTGTACTACTACTGTACTACTATGGTACCACTACCGTACTACTGTACGACTACTGCACTACTACTGTAGTATCACTACTGTACGACTGTACGACTACTGCATTACTACTGTAGTATTACGACTGTACGACTGTACGACTACTGCACTACTGCTGTAGTATTACTGTACTACTACTCTACCGTACCAGGCCTCAGACGTGGTCGATTGTGGCGGGGAATGTAGGTTGGAGGCAAAAGTCTCCAAAATGAAGTTTTCGTGTTGGTAGTATCTTGGAGTGATCGGGGCTTTGGTTTCCAGCTTTTGGTGATCCCCCAACACCGTTAAGCAGCTCCAAGTACCCTGAAAAACCCTCGTACTGTCCTACTACTGCATTACTACTGTACTGGTGCCAGGGTCACTTAGCCAACCCCGAACACGGTCACTTGGCCAATCGGAAACCGTATCATGTTTCAGGTCACTTAGCAAACCCCGTGCGGTCACTTAGCCAACCCTAGGGTTTAGGGTTTAGGGTTTCAGGTTTTAGGGTTTCGGGTTCAGGGTTTCGGGTTCATGCTTTCCTTTTAGGGTTTAGGGTTGAGGGTTTAGGGTTTCCTTTCAGGGTTTAAGGTTTAGGGTTCAGGGTTTAGGGTTTCCTTTTAGGGTCTAGGCTTTAGGGTCCAGGGTTTAGGGTTTAGGGTTTCCTTTTAGGGTTTGGGGTTTAGGGTGTACGGTTCAGGGGGTTTTGGGTTTAGGGTTTCTTTTCAGGGTTTAGGGTTTAGGGTTCAGGGTTTAGGGTTTCCTTTCAGGGTTTAAGGTTTAGGGTTTAGGGTTTCCTGTTCGGGTTTAGGGTTTCCTTTCAGGGTTTAAGGTTTAGGGTTTTGGGTTTCCTTTTAGGGAAACCCGTTTCCTTTTAGGGTTTAGGGTTAAGGGTTTAGGGTTTCCTTTCAGGGTTTAGGCTTCAAGGTTTAGGGTTGAGGGCTTAGGGTTTAGGGTTTCCTTTTAGGGTTTAGGGTTTAGAACCCGTTTCCTTTTAGGGTTTAGGGTTTACGGTTTAGGGTTAAGGGTGTGGGGTTTCCTTTTAGGGTTTAGGCTTCACGGTTTAGGGTTGAAGGCTTAGGGTTTAGGGTTTCCTTTTAGGGTTTAGGCTTGAGGGCTTAGGGTTTAGGGTTTCCTTTTAGGGTTTAGGGTTTACGGTTTAGGGTTAAGGGTGTGGGGTTTCCTTTTAGGGTTTAGGCTTCACTGTTTAGGGTTGAGGGCTTAGGGTTTAGGGTTCCCTTTTAGGGTTTAGGGTTTAGGGTTTCCTTTCAGGGTTTAAGGTTTAGGGTTTAGGGTTTCTTTTAGGGTTTAGGGTTTCCTTTCAGGGTTTAAGGTTTAGGGTTCAAGGTTCACGGTTTCCTTTTAGGGAAACCCGTTTCCTTTTAGGGTTTAGGGTTTACGGTTTAGGGTTAAGGGTGTGGGGTTTCCTTTTAGGGTTTAGGCTTCAGGGTTTAGGGTTGAGGGCTTAGGGTTTAGGGTTTCCTTTTAGGGTTTAGGGTGTAGGGTTTAGGGTTTTAGGTTTTAGGGTTTAGGGTTTCGGGTTCAGGGTTTCGGGTTTATGCTTTCCTTGTAGGGTTTAGGGTTGAGGGTTTAGGGTTTCCTTTCAGGGTTTAAGGTTTAGGGTTCAGGGTTTAGGGTTTCCTTTTAGGGTCTAGGGTTTAGGGTCCAGGGTTTAGGGTTTAGGGTTTCCTTTTAGGGTTTAGGGTTTTGGGTGTAGCGTTCAGGGGGTTTTGGGTTTAGGGTTTCCTTTTAGGGTTTAGGGTTTTGGGTGTAGGGTTCAGGGGGTTTTGGGTTTAGGGTTTCTTTTCAGGGTTTAGGGTTTAGGGTTCAGGGTTTAGGGTTTAGCGTTTTGGGTTTCCTTTGAGGGTTTAAGGTTTAGGGTTTAGGGTTTCCTTTTAGGGTTCTTTGTTGGGCTTCCAACACCTGTGAAAATGAGCGTGCCAAGCGACCAAAACTGGAGCGTGCTAAGCGACCCGAAAAAAAGTTGGCTAAGCGACCCCTCTACCACTGTACTATTACATGCATCACAACTGTACAATTACATTGCATGTACGACTTCTGTGCTAGCACTGTGCTACTACTGTGACACTATTGTACTAATGTACTACTGTGCCACTGTACTCTGTAGTACACACCATTGTACCGTATCAGGCCTCAGACTTGGTCGATTGTAGGGGTCTTTGAGTTGGAAGCAAAAGTCTTCAACATGAAAGGCTTTTAGTGTTGGTAGTTATCTTGGAGTGATCGGGGCTTGGTTTCAAGCTTTTGGTGATCCCCAAACCCCCCGACCGCGGCGTTCGCGCAGGTTTCCAGGTTTCAAACCGACCCTGCGACCCCCCAATTCCCTTCTAACTTAACCCAAGCCATCCAGACCCTCAGCCAGCCGAACCCCGGTCCATAGGGTCACGGACACCAGACTATTCAAGCCAAAAACCTTTGGTAAAGGGGGGTGGCGATTAAACGGGCCGCCACATTACATTTGCACTTACATTGGATGATGACTTTAACGTACATGACATTGGATAACGACTTTCATCCAATGCATCGCCTGATCACCCTTGCCTCGGCGATGTTGCAGAACAGCAGGAAGCAAGCGGCGGAATTTGATTCAATCACAACCAAAAGCTTAAAATGATAAATACGAACTTCAAAAGCAAATAAAAGCAAATAAAACCAAAATAAAACAAATAGCGACAAAGTTTGCCAAATACGAACATAAATCAGGTTTTGGTACCTTTTTTTGTATAAGCCCTGTTGATCTAAACGTTGTGGTCCTGGGTTCGGCGCAAACGGTTAAGGACACAGCAAGAACTATCCTCGGACCCGGCTGAGCTATAGTGTTCGGGTCTCTGGGGCCTCAGAAGTCACATAAACTGGGGCTCTAAGTGCACGAACGGGCGCAAGCTTGTAACTTGTAACACCAATCGATCTGGCCAACGAGGCACCCCTCCTTTTTGTGCAGGGCGATTTGGCGCTGCAAGGCCTTTGCGAGTTGAGCCGCGCCCGCATCTGTGCCCGCGTTGTGGACTCGTGCCACTGAAACAACCGTCACAACTCGCTGCGCTGGGTCATCTGCTCCTGGAAGGCGACCCGGTGAAGCGGACTGACGAAAACGAAGGCATGCCGCTTCCTGTCGAAGTAGAAGACCTCGCTGAAGGCCCTGACGATGTGGAACACATCCCTCAAATAGAATAAAGCCAGCCTCCGCGATCATCTTCATCAATGCCTCTGCGTGTGGATCTGCCCTCGCGCTCTCAACGCTGTACTCCACTTCCAGCTTCGACAGGGGCAAGCGGTTCGCCCAGCTCCTTCAAGCCGGTTCCCATGTCCATCATCACCGATGTGTCGGCCTGGAACTTGCCGACGTACTCGGTCGCCTCCGACTCCTCGAGGTTGCCGACCCAGATCGTTTCGAACCGCCCCTTGTCCCGTGGGAAGGCGTCCACCTGGTAGTGGTTGCTCAAAATGATGATGCCCAGTGTGACTCGTGTCATACCGTGTCATCATAGACCATGCCCTTCAAGTCCTCGTAGACTCGCGTGACATCCGCATCCTCCTCAAATTGTGAGGGATGTCGAAGATGACGGTGACTTCTGTCGGCTCTTCTCGTAGAGTCGTAGACCTTGCCGACGATATGCTGCACCTCCTGTTTGCCAAGGTGCTTTCGGCCGCCCGCCTGCATCCGGCCCAGCCCAAATGCATCGTGCGTTCTGCGACATGGTAGTACACATTCTTGTCGTTGTTGAAGTGCTCCAAAACCACGCTCGTCTTCCCCACCTCGCGGCGGCCGAGCACCACGATGAGGCGGACCTGGCTGCGGGGCGCTCAGCTGCGCTCGACCATCTCGGCCAGCTCCATCGACAGGAGCGTACGGTTGACGTAAGGTTGCGGGAGGTCGTAGACGTAGGGCAGCATCATGTCCTTGGCGAGGCTGGTCAAGTAGTCATCACAGGCGTTTTCCTTGCTGGCGGGGATCATGGCCTTGACAATGGGAGTGATGAGGGCAACGACACAACCCAGAATGGCAACGCATCATGTACCGCGCTCACGACGGCGTCGCAAATCAGCATCGCGGTCTGAATCAACGTCGTCAGGCGCCACATCATGCCACATCCTCATAGAGCTGGCGGCAGCGACCGGCACACGAGCCGATCGCTGCAAGGAAAGCTACACACTGATCTTCCAACACATTCGAAATCCGAGCTTCAGCCCTGAACCGGGCGCATGAGAAGCTGAGTCTGGCATGGCGGCGAGGCCGGAAATGGCACAAGCGACGTGCAAGCACTAGAAGAAAGCAGCCCAGTGAAACTACATCGAAGGCAGGGACTGGGAGCTGGGCATCTGCTTTCCAAGCAATCAAGAGCTGTGTCAACTCTCGGTGGCCTGGGTACGACCGGAAACCCATGAAACTGGACACTGCTAACCCTAAACCCTGAACCCGAAAGCGGAGGCGAAAGTGACAGTCGGGCTTCCGACCGTTCTGCACTGCAATGTGCAAGGCTTGGTTGCCGGTCTTTGGGTCCGGTGCTCCTAACATGAGATCAGCAAAACCGAAGCACGAATAATAGCAGCTAGCAGTAACTATCAGAATAGTAACGACCGTAAACGACATGTTCATGAGAATCCTATTAGTAGTAATCATGACAAACAAAAGGTAGCATCATTACGGCGACATCAACAATCATCGAGCTTCACTGCATCCGAGAGCTGAGGCTCCAGCTTGCTGCAGAGCGCCGGGACCTCGCACGCTGGCTGTGCAGAAGTTGAGACTTGTTATGTCGGGGCAGTTAGGCAACCACGACACAACAGGACATGATTGTCTGAAAGCATAACAAGAGCTCAGGCCAGCACACCGAAGCATCCGTCACCAGCGCCTGCACCTAACATTGCAGGGACGTGCTTGTATCCGGACTTCTGAAAGGGTGTTCTGCCCAAACTGCCTCATCCTCTGCCTTGCCCCACCCTCGGTAAGCATTCTCGGTGAGCTCTCAAATCACATCGCCAGGAAATCAGATGGTGAGACGCGTAAGGTCGACACGCAGGGCAGAATGGAATTTGCCTCAGCTGATGGCAAGAATTCGCTTCAACACGCTCTTCAACCAGCTGAGCCTCAAGACATCCAAGACTTGCAGAATTGCCACAAGTGAAAAGGCTGATCAGCAGTGGTAGGAGCCAAAGCCCACACCTCAGGGCCCGGCCAATGAACTGATCATCGGGCGCTGCGCCGGCTTGCTCATCGACGCTGGCTTCTGCTTCTTTGTTCTCCTTGCTTTTGGACTTCGAGCTTTTGGTCGATTCCTTGGAATCTTTGGGCTCTTGGCTCATGGCCTCCGCCTCCAGGGCACATATTGACGCATTGGCTTCTACATGTCGAAGTGGCACCTAGAATCCCAACGGTCGAGGTTTAGCGGCTCCTTGTCCTTTTCCTTCTCTTCCTTCCCCTTTTCCTTCTCTTCCTTTCCTTTCTTGGGCTTCTTCCTGCAGAACTCAAGATTCTCCGAGTCCCATCCTTCGTGTCCGTAGCTCTGATGTGACCGAGCCACACTTTGCCCCCTTTCTTCTCAGCTGCATCCTGAAGGCACCACGATGGCAGAGAGCTTGGAAAGACGGGTGGTCGCGGCACTGCAGATTCGCGGATTCGCGTCTACGTCCTGCTGCGGTGGTTCCGGCAGCAGCGTGTCGGGCTCTGCCTGCAGTGGCGGCAAAGCGTAGCAATACCCACACAAGACGAGCTCGAGGGGACGACCCGGAACACAGAGCAGCAAGAGCAAGCCTGAGAGTCATCACAGTTAGCTGCTGAGACTTCAGGAATTTCCAATTCTCAGCTTTGCGGCCGTCTCGGCTTTCTTGCTCGCTCAAAGCGGAGCCCAGTCGAGGCATCTTGAGCTGTTGGTTGCTGAAGAGTCCAGGCTCGTGGAAAGCAGAAGCGTGCGCATAAGAGGCGCCCTCAATGCCACAGCAAAAGCCTGTACAGTCTGGGATTTGCGGGATGCAGCTTTTTGCCGATATGCTTTGACTCTGAAGCAGCCAACTCAGTGTCACCTGCAAAGAGCTGTCTGGAACATGACTGCCAAACTGACCGACCATCTGCTGGGTGGGACAACTTCCAGCCATCTGACAGCTTCCGCTGGCACTCTCTAGCAGGAAAAGTGAACTGCCTGGAATCATGTGCAGCATGGAAGGTGCGTTGGATTGTGAGGTACGTCTCGTTTACAGCCCAGCGGCAAGGAAGTAGCAGTTGCCTCGCTGTCCATTCGGACATGGCAATTGGCAAACAATCTCTCCGGCCGCAGCCAGGAAACCAGAACTCAACGGTGAAACACATCCCTTCCGCGCTCGCGCCAGGATGTCAGAATGTGTCGTGATCATGTCGTGATCGTCGTGCGACGGCCAGGTCGGGCCCTACTCTCAGTGCACCAGATGCACTCTGTTTGTTGCGTCCTTCCCATCAGTTTATGCATGGGTCCTGCATTGAACATGCAGATACAGGGAAAGGAAGCAAGCACCTTGAAAGCAGCATCCATCCAGAGAGCATGAATGAGCAATGCATGAATTAGCTCCGAAAATCTGCATGCTCCACGCGGGGTGCGTGGGCAAAAGGTTCACGGCTCCGTGCTCAGTCATCCTCATCTACGATTGGCTTGGACTTGTCCAGCCTGGGGCGAGGACCGACTGACAGCAACACAAACACAGGAAAGCGACATACCGTGAGGATGTCTTCGGTCGAGCCAAGCATCCATCTGCTCATGGAGCTTGGAACGAAGTCGCCTCCCAGTTCCATTTCCTGCAGGCTGTAGCAACTATCACATTCAGCTGCATGGATGCTTGGCGCTCGCAAACTCGGCCATGCTAGCTCCACCTCGCAAGCGATAAAACACTGCAACGTGGTGTCCACTGCAAGGCCAAATACATTCCTGAGCTCTCAAAGTGCGACAATGCAATCAATGAGAAAGTGCAAGAAACAAGCGTGTGAGTGAGAACCCGTTAACTCGTAAGAACCTGCCTGCTAGCTCTCTGTCCCAACATGAGCACAACATGTCGTGGCGTGAGCACGTATGAGTCATGTGTGGCAGGCGGGTGTGCGAGCGCGCCGGCCTGCCCTTCTCCGCCAAAGCCTTGCTCTGCAGCTAGTAGAAACGATCACGGTGAGTCCCCATAATTTTGGGGGGCCACATGCAGACCCATGGTAAGTTCTAGCACTATGCTGGAACAAGTTCTGTTGTCCAGCCGTGTCTGCACATCCAGACAAAGGCATAAAGCCCAATGGATCGTGTTTGCTGAAGTATCCTCTTGTCGATTCTTTGGTGCATACGCTGAGGCGCCTCTGCCTTCAGCCTATAGAGATCATGCGTGCGTTCCGCTCGCGATCTGTGCTCGACCCGGTTTTGCCAGGGGGCATGAAGAGCTTGGAAACCTCGTGAACTCCGAGATCCGTTTCAATGCTGACTCGACTGCCACAGGACCGAGGTCGAGGCAACGTAGGCTGTGCAGCCGTAGATGATGAGGCAGACAGCAGGGGAAATATCAGGGTAGAGGCCCGTCAAGATGAGGTAGCCCAGAGCAACGCTGGATGCAATGATGAACAGGAAACCGATGGCATGGATCATAGTCTCGGGTGACACGGTCGAAGGTAGAACAGACACGAAGCTGCATATTGTTACCTCTGTATCTATACCAAAAAGTACCGATGAAAACACTCATCAACTTCGCCAGCGAGCCCCGAGGATTGCCACGGTTCCGAATCGGAAGGCATTTCTCAAAATCAAGAAGAAGGCCTTCTTGGCAGACACGCAGAAGTTCGTACCCATCAGCGCGATCTGAATGTACGCATTCCTTGGTGACTGCTCCTGCTCTGGTCTATGCATACGTTGATCCTCTGCGGTGCGGTCCAAGTCTCTTGTTCAGGAACTTGACCTGCTGCCACAGATCCGGCAGCTTAAAGCGAATCATTGCATACACACCAACCAGCCGAGGACCCGGCGCATTTCTCGAAGCACCAAATACAGCACTGCAAGACTTTGAGGACCAGAACCAGTACCCGGTTCTTTGCCGCTTTTGCTTGCTTCCTCGGAGAGAGGACAGACCGACTTGCATCATCAGCATTAAGCTTGAGATCAGTGCAACACTCAATGGAACCTTTCTTACTAACAGATAGTACAATCATTGCCCTGGCGAGTCCGAGCTTTTACTTTACGGGTCCATGTCCATGGTCGCCGCTCTTGGTGGAACACTTGCCGGGCAAGCTTCTCGTAGTACTTCATCAAGTAGCGAATGAACTGTATCACCGCAATAATGAAGGAGCCAAAGGCCAACGAACCCAAGTGATAGCGGAACACGTTCCTTGCTTGCTTGCATTCTGAGGTGACCATGCGTCGCAGAGGCCACAATGTGCGCACTCCGACCCGGCATCTACACCTATCACGGTACACAACCAAGGCACCACGTGGACTGTGCAATGACCTCAAGTTTGGCCAGACAAGGTAGAGTTGCTGTCAAGTGAATCTGGCACAGGGATCTCGCCCAGTGCACCGGATCGTGAAGTGCCTGCATTATGTCAAGCGACCCGCTTGGTGCCTTTGTCGGAGTTTGAAGTGAAGAACCATATCCCGACGGCACCAGCGATGAGGCACTGCCCAATGGCAATGTTCAGGGCCTGCAGCGACGGATCGCGAGAGGAGGCTGGTCTTCCGATCAATCGGGCAAACAAGCATTCTCTCGCGAACTGAGGTTGCGGCATTATTCCAAAGGAAAACGAAGAAGGAAACCTTGCCAAACGAGGCATGCCGTCAGTATCCCAAGCGTTGCATGTGTCGGAAAGGTCAGGCCGATTTCCTGGACAGGCACCGCGAATCGCCAGTCGAAGACATACCGTGGAGGAGAGCATCTCCAGCATGCGTAGGTCCCGTTCACCAAATCACCTGGGTAGCTGTTGGGTGCTCCGGCTGGTCTCCACTTGGCATGCTGTGGCAGGAAGACCCTCCCTGCTCCTTCCGGTCCTGCCTTTCTGCATACAGAAACGGAAAACATTGGAAAACCGTGCACATCTACTCGCCTGCTTCACCCGGCCCTCCCCTTAGCAAAAAGTTCGCTTCCAGACTTGTCAAAGCATTCTTCCCCTGTCCCAAGCGTCAACCCACGGACCGAGAGCGCCGAACACCCCAGAAAGCCATTCTTGGCGAGAGGGTGTGACAGAAGGTGCTGGCAAGCAACAGGACTCAGACTTCCAAACGCCACCCGTGGGCCACTTGTCCGTGCACTTGCCGGAAACATTCGCCTTGGTTGTAAGCTTCCCATGACAGAAAGACACCAAGCCCTGTCGCCCCAAAGCATCCGGAAAGGGTCAGCTTGATCAAGCCCGAAACACCCCAAGTCAGACCTTCGATTGACAAACTGGAGGGCGAAAGTTGTCAAAGATCATATGAACTAAGCGCCACCAGGTCACGGTTCCAAAAGCTTCGTCATAGGATGTGAAAGCCTCCTGGTGCAGGAGCATACGCTGCACAGAGTCTTCCAAACACGGGAGAATCAACCTCAAGCCGGCCTTCGGCGTGTAGTCTTCCGGCACTTGTGACAGCAGAAAGCTAGCCGAGAGGGCCCAGAGCAAGATCCACAGGATCCCAATGACAGCTTGTAGAATGGGCATGACCAGTATCCTGAAGGTGATGCCGAGGCTTCAGTCGTTTCTGTGAGTCGGCTTAATCAATGGCTTCCGGATTATCCTGCCTGGGTGTGTCCTTTACAAAGCTGGCAGCCACTTGGTTCACGGCAATCGCCAATCGAATCCTTGCAGGGGGAGGCCGCTTGCAGTAAGTCTTCCGAACAGCTGGCGTTACAGGGGCTGGATGCGTTCTTAGTTGGCAGTGATGGCTTTCGGCCGCTCCATCCCCATGCATTCTTGCACGCTTATGTCAGTAGCACAGCCCCGCCCGATGGCTTTTGCCCCAAGTACTATGTTTCGTCCAGAAAGAAGAATGCAGGGAGGTCCTGTCGACAAGGCAGCAGACGAGTATGAAGTAGATGCTGGCGATAACCCAGAGTATGTAGCCAACAACCTCCAGGACTATTCTGACCTCATTGTTCGTGATGGCATAGCCCGCAGCGCACTCCTCAGGAAGCCACAGAAGTGGCAGAAACCCTGGCTGCTCTGCCGTGCAAAACTCTCAAAAGTGACAGCTTTCAGCCTTCCAATCTGTGCCAAGTCACAGGCGCGATGACACCAACCGGCGTGCATGTCTCCCACGTGACGCTGGTGTCAGTGGTGAAACACCAGATGGTCGCGGCGACATTCGTGGATCCGGTCTGATACGGGTTGCGGCAGAAGTTGT